TGTCTACTTTTATAGAATAAATTGCTATAAATTAAGTTAGCAGCAGTATAAACAGAGGTAATAGATCCCTGTCTCTGTAGTGGCAGCTGACAGCATTATGGAAATGAAGAATGTCTATTTCTGAGTTTATTCTAATGCTGATGAGTTTGCACTGATGTTCGTCTCTCTCATTTCTCATTTTATCACCTCTAATGCAATGATTTCCCCCCTGCAAGCTTCTCCTTCCTGAAGTTTGATTTAGTCAAGTAAATCCTAAAGGCTATTTTAAAAATGAGCTATAGGAAAAAGCTTAGAGTTAGCCTAGTGGGTACCACTTAGGCTTTTGTTTGAATAACAAAACTTTGTTTCAAAATAATAAAAGATGCTACAATTGAATGCATTCAGTCCAGTAAAAGTATAATCCATTTTCCCCTTGAAATATGCTCATAATAAAAGAGAGCATGTATTTTTGCTTTAAATCCATTTCAAATTTCCAACCCCTGCTGAAGAATAGCATGGAGAAAGTGAAGTAGGAGGGAGAATAAGAAAGTGAAAATTTGCAGCCCAAAATGTGTGAGTGTTTGGGTGTGCAAACACATAAAATGATCTCTTTTTCTACTACCTACTTTTCCACAACTCTGGCCATGTAAAAAAAGGCTTTTAAAATGTTTGGACTAGAACCAATTTGAGGAATTCTTTCCACCAACGAATTGTAATAGGAACACTTGTGGGAATAATAACTAAGCCCTTAACCTTGTGAGATTTTCCAGATGCAACAGCCCTCCATATTAAAAAAAAAAAAAAAAAAAAGTAATTTTATAAATTACGGAGGTGACCTTGGAAAAGTCTCTGTCCAGGAACATGTTTGATGGCCCTTAGCTTAGAAGCCTCCATCTGCCTTTTGCAGAGCACAGCAGCACTTTCGGTTTTGTGAGAGTTTGGTAAAAGGTGTCTTGAAATCTGTGACAAGAGCCATGTCTTTCCCAGTAGGTTTGAACACAGTTGCCTTGGTCCATTTCCAGACCCAAAACTCCATTGAAAAGAGCTCTTCTATGAGGAATAAAAGCATGGGCTGCTTTTATTTTTAGATGGGGGGGGGGGGGGGGGGAGAGAGGGATTTTCTGTTAAAAAACAAGCCAGAGGAATCACAATAACCTTCCATTCTTGCCCCTGCCCTAGAGCTCAGATTGTCATTGAAGCAGGCAGGGAGGGAGCTATTGAACCCAAAAAGACCAGAATGACCACCAGAGAAAACTTTCTCCTGGTTTTGACACGGACATCTGAAGTGTTCCTGAAGACTGCTCAAGTTTGGTGAGGTTTCTTGGGAAAGCAGGCAAAACAACAATTGACACTGCCAGCCAGGCTGCTTTCCTGCCTGTGCACAAATCCATCACACTGTTATGGAACCTCAGAATCTAATGGTTGTAGCTGGAAAACTGCCTGGAAATTATTCCTTTGCACAGGAAATTCCAGAATTGGAAAACTTGAGGATTGTTCCAAACCAAAATTATTGTGCATTTTTTAATTCTCCAGGGTATTCCTCTCCTCTCAGCATTTTGCTTTTAGGATTTCATTGAGCAAAGCCAACTGCAACAGTGGAACAACAGCAAATAGTGTCATTAACAAATTCCTTTAATCCATATTCATACCTGAAACAAGGAATCTGGAGGAAAAAAATAAGGAATCATCCATTAAAACCCAGCCTTTGCAGAGGCAGAAAATGGAGAACATAAATCTCTTGGTCAGGAAGAGGCAAGTGCTTTCTCAGTAGGTATAGCTGTCTTTGAACACCCTGCAAAGCTGGGAACTCTGGCTACAAGGAGCATCCCAGAGCATGCAGCTGTGACCAGGAGTTCAGGGCAAGAGGAGACCAGAAACGACTCTGCTGCCATCTGGTGATTTTTGTAACCATTTGATCTTAAGATGCTGTGAATCTTGGCAGGTAGCACTAGCTTAGCAGTGCAGGATAATACATACATAACTGTGAACTTGTCTGTGGTGAAGAGAGGAATATGGTGAAAAATTCGGTGCTGGATGTCTTCAGCACATAATGAACATAATGTTGTGTAGATCCACGTTCAGCCCAAAAGACATTGCTGAGACATTATTGCTAGCAATGACCAGAGCAGGAACATTTAAGAAATGCTGCATTTGACATTTATGTGATCATTTGTCTCCCGGGAGCATTTCTTGACAATTTCTCAGAATCCAAATACGACTTCTGTTCCAGAATATGGCAGGGCTCTGCTTTCCAGAATGGAAGAGTTTAAATAAAAATGCATTTGACACTACAGAATTAACACTAGAATTAACAGAAAAATTTATGTCTTTGTTTAAAACTGTGCTCCTGTACTCCAAGAAAGATGAAAGCAGGGATTTCCACCGCCTCCTTTTGTCATGGAAGGTAGTCCTTTTACGAGTCTTTTTCCTCTCCACTAAGCTCTCCTTTCTTGTTGTTTCACAAAAAATCCCAGTGATTAGTGGTCATGTCTTCTCCTGCACTCTACCTTACACGGTGTACATTTCCAATCCCTTCTCCATCTTTTCATAAATGTTTCAATCTTTCTTTATAGAGGAGTTTTCCCATGAACAGTTTCATCCCAGTGGTCTGACTCAAACACCCTCTTCTCCTCCTTTGGAGTAGTTCTAAATTGAACTGAAAACTCCTGCTGAAGGCATAGCATCGATTTGCATAATAGCACTGCAATATCCCACATCCCCTACATTTTGCTTCTCTTTAACCACTAATTTTGTCCATCCACAGAAAACACTCATTTGCTGAATGTGCTGAAAATATGCAAACGCACTTAATAGAAATAGAAGAATGTCTGTTGCTTTTCTCCTTGTTAGATCTTAGGCACTGTCCTCATCCTCCCACCTATCAGAGCTTGTAATTTACCAGTGCTGTTTCCAGGACAAATGTGTCTAAAGAGTCCTGAATTTCAGCTCAGTAATAGGATTGCTAAATCCAAATATAGAATGATCCAAATAAATATATAGAGGTTTTAGCCCAGCCTCACTCATTTTACTAGAACACTGCTGTGGGGGTGTTTTGAGCTGTGCTAATTTGCAGATTTCTTGGTAATAATCATCTTTTCTTCAGGTTCCTTCAACTGGAAACTAATGCATTTCAAGAAGGAAAATGTGAAGAAAACAGCAACAACTGAAATAGACTCAGTGGGGGAGGTTTTCGGATTTGTTTTTTATTTGGCCATTTATTTCTTCAGAAATAAAAAAGAAAACTCCTTGCTTATGAAATCTAGCAGACAATACAATGCTCTCAAGTGATGTGGTAAAAGCTTCCATTACCTGAGACACTTAACCGTGAATTGAATTTAGGACCGTAAAACCTCCCATTCTTTCTGTGCTCCAAGTGCAGCACAGGTACTCAATAGCCTCACCATGCTGGTACTGTTAAAAAGAGAAATGAGTTATGACTGAGATATATACTGATACAATCTCTCTACTCCTCTCTACCTCAGTACTTTAAGTGTTGCATGCTGCATAGAAATAAACAACTGTTCTCTTCTTTTTTTTTTTCTTTTTTTGACACTCCTCCAGTCTGAAATCATAACTAACACCCACCAAACTCTTCCCCAGGTTTCCCGTCAAAATAAATGTGGGGCACACAGACCTGCATGCGTCACCTGGAACCAGTCCTTCTTGGGAGAACGATTTATCCTCCTCGTATAATGTACAAGTGATCAGAGCACAGCCCAGACACACAGAAAGGATTTGAGAATCACTGGGAGGCTGGTCGAAACTGTTTCTCAGACTGTCACAGCTTCAGCATCCCCAGACAATGCTGAAAACCCTCAACTTCCATCTGAACAGCAACTAATGAAAGAAACGAAGAAATTTCAAAATATTGTTGCATGGTGCAGTGAGAAAAGAGAAAGAGCTTCTACTCCCGTTCATCTTGAATCACCTCAGCTTCTTCTGAAGGTTTCTGACGTGGATTGCAATGAAAATGTTCTCATTGCAAGTTTATCCCATGTTTTTACTTACACTTTAGAACAATACTGTCTTCACACAAAAAATTTAAGCTCAGCTTTATGACTTCTCAGTCTGCTTGGTGCAAATTCATTTTATGGAGGCCTTTCTTTCCTATATCTTTCCCAGGATTAGCTCAGTCATAGCCTAGAGTGCAGAATTCCCAACTAGATAGTTCTCTTGTACCATGTTGCAATGCCACAGGTCCTTAATTTCAAGTTCTCCTGTAACCCAGAAAAGTGAACTTGAGTTAATATTTATTTTAAATTGTGGCACAGTGAGAGGTGAGGCTTCTTCAAGTAAGTTTGCTAACAAACACTAGTGCAACCCCAAAAAGCAGTCCAGGACCAGCTAGCTATACTTTACCCAATACCAAGGACTCGTTGCTTTTATATAGCTGGAGAAAGGGAGGTTGATGTCTCCACGCAGGACAATTTCTCCTTGCCTTGAATGACGATTCCCAGAAAGTCTCAACACTCAACAACTTTCCATTATGATGTGTGCCCTTGAACACATAAGCCAACTGACCAGGATAAATATCTTCTCTTTAATGTTATAAAAATCTCCCATGTTTCCACCTCTGTAATTTCTTTCCATACTCTACTTGCAAATAATACAAGTCCTATGTTCTGAGTGGCATAATTCAACAAACAATTTTTCAGACAGTCAGAACTGGCACCAAACTAAATATAAATGCCTCCAGCATAATAGTGGTGGCCCAACCTGCAAGGTGCTATCACAGAGTGCTACCTACAGGCAACAACAGTCCGTCCTCCATATGACGTGCTGCAAACATAGAGTAAACTTAGAGCTGAGCAGGTCCTGTTCTGGTCTCCAAAAGGCCAGGAATAAGCTGTATGTGTTCTTTTTTTGTCACATCCTTCTGTGGCTACATGGAAAACTATAATGCAGGTAGACTTGCGCTGGTTTTTCTAACATCTTATCAGAAAGTTGTATCCAAAGGTTTTAAGAAAGCATTAAGGAAGTATTAGAGTTGCAGTATAGTACCCTAATGAGACCTCTGCTCAAGCTGTGTCCATTACCACTCATCCAGCTTCAGGGAAGAATTCAACATAAGCAAGCACAGAGCAGGGTTGCCAGGATGGGGAGAGGGAGGAGGAGGCCACCAGTTAGGAGGGAGATAGGAAAGCATGCTTTGTTTAGCCTAGCAAAATGAGAAGTGAGTGGAGGTATGACGGCTCTCTATAAATACTTCTGAGCAAAAACAGCAACAAGAGACAATAATTATATTAGCTAAAATAAGATGTTGGCACAAGAACAACTGAATGCAAGTTAACTATGAATACATTTAGACTGGTAATCAGGAGATGGTTCCTAATCATCAAACAAAAGAGATTCTGGAAGAGTCTCCCAGTGAGCATTGTGGGGGAATGAGACTCGATTACTTTTGAGATAAAGATCAATCAGTTTACAATAGGGATTGAATAACAGTGGGCCTGCAATAGCAGGGAACAAGACTTGATGACCCAGATCATGTTGTCCTGTCCAGTGACCCTGAAAGCTTTGCAAAGTACTTGTCACATAAAACATATAAAATGTAGTGCAGCACTACCAATTTCTCCCAACACACACCACTCTGCAATGCAGGTGGATGTACAATGCACTTTTTGGTTTTCCTCAGCCAGTCTTCATACCAGTACATCTTCTTATTGCCTTTGCTGTGCCTCCAAACTTAGTGAGTCTGGAGTCCTTTCCACATGTCACCTCTTGTCCATATTTTTGCAGCAGCCCCACAGACCACGGCACACCATGCTGACAAGGTTGGAATTACGCCAGCTGGCATCTCAAGAGTTTTGCAGGCAGAACTGTCCCATTGCCAGCCTCTGCAAACTCCACTGCCACTTACCAGCTGTTCAGGAAACAGTGAAATCTTCTCTTCTGTTCTGATCTCTACCTATGGCATCTGTAGCCAGAAGCAGAAGCAATATGCACGCTTGGTCCACAGAAACAGACATGACCCATCCACATTATTTGAAGAGAAATTTTGTAATACAGTAATTTCTGCTACACAGTACGGGGCAGATGTCAATGCTGTGGGTTTGTCATAAACAGAAAACTGAAAAAATGAAGCACCACAGAGTAACAGGCTTTTTTCCTACAGTGAAGGATCACGCCACACTGTAGAGCGGCGTCAGTCTGGCCTGTACAGAAGAGGGCTGCCATGGAATAAGGTATGAGAGGAGGATATTAAATAAATCAACAGATTCAAGGGAAAAAGGGAAAATGCAAATCAAGGATGTAGATAAAGCTGAATGCCTGATGTTTTATGAGACCAGGGTTGTGGGGAATTACAGTCAGTAGAGACCAGCAAGGTCTCCAGGGACCAGGCATGGAGGGAGAGCTCAGTGCTGAAAGCAGTGCAATAGGCCTTGCATGCCTCTGTGAAACTCAGATTAAACCATTCTATGTCCTTGGCAGGTGGCAAGAAGGGAGAGATCAAAATCAGTGAAAAGAGGCAAATTCACTGCTGACTGATTGCCTGCATTTAGCCTTTCCTCTATGCATATTGCCCTGGTATGGTCCTTTTCCCTTGGCGTAATCATATCCTCTCTGGACCCCACTAATCCTGCTGTAACTCACTGTCCTGGTTTTGCTCCGGGTCAATTTTTCTCACTCCCACCCCCCACACACACAATTACTACAAGTTGAGAGTAAGTTTATGCAGACAAAAGAGACCTGATTGGGGAAATAATATTAACATTTATTACTAGCAAGATAAAAAACTAAAGCACTATATCTACAATAATTCTACTAAAATAAAAGTACTATGTATTTACAGAAATACCTCTCCCCCCTTTTTATCAGTCCATGAGGAGAAGCAGTCTCTTTCTCCATTCTCGGAGCTCCAGGTCTTTTCAATAACTCTGCTGCACTCTAAAGCTCTTCTGTTATCTCTAGGACAACAACTCCGATTCATCGTAGCTGGAACTCTTTTTCTTTCTCTCTCTTTTCTATGTCGGCCTCCAGGGCTGGGCCTACCCCCGTCCTGGGCTAAGACCGGAGGCTGGAGGTTTACCCAGGCCTTGAAGATCTTCTATTCCATGGACTGCAAGGGGACACTTGCCTACCAGGGATCTTCACCACAAGGCCACAGGGGATAATGGCTTTTGAGTCCACTCTTGTTTCCTGTGGGGTCCCTCCCCATGGGAGAACAGTTTTTGATAGACCTCTCCGACATGGGTCTAACATGGATCCCTCACTCAGACCCCAACATCTTACCCGAGCCGTTCTTGCTCCAGCGTAGGTTCTTCTAGGGTAACAAATCTCCCATCAGCAGCATGGATCCCTCACTTGGATCCCAACATCTTACCCAAGCTGTTCTCACTCCAGTGTAAGTCTCTCTATGGCCTACAAGCCTCCAACAGGACTGTGTTTCATTTCGAGTTTCTCATGAGGTCTCAGTTTTCCTTATGCATCTACAAGCTCCTTTATGAGTCGCATAGGGGTCTCCTCACCCCAACAGTCTTCCACAGGTGGCAGGGATTTATTTTCACTCTTTTCCCTGCTGAAGAGAGAGAGAAAGAGAGAGCAAGAGAGAGGGAAGAAGCAGCTTCCCCCCCCACTTCAAACTTCTCTCCCCTGCTGCAGCTTTGGCCTTGAACACTTCGTTATCTCTCTGCCAGAATTCTTCTACAGTGGTTTTCGTCTAAACAGTCAGTCCTCTAAAGTTTTTTTTTCCTTTACTCTCTTACATGAGAGAAGGGGGGCTTCAGTCCCACACCTGCCCGCAGCCCAGGGCTGGGGGAGGAGGGAGGCCTGGTCCCCACTTGGGGCCTGCCACCGCTGCTACATGGCTACCAATTTCAACTGCTACTAATTTCAACTATGCAACAGCCTTCTCTTCCGTTTTCTTAAAAATGTCATTGGCAGAGGCGTTATTGAAACTTTGATTGGCCTTTTCTCCGGAAATCCACCTGGACAAAACCATCCTCAGCCCCAGGGGCTGGCTGGTGGGCAAACCACGACACTCACCGTACTTTTTCCCTCCCAGATGGACATCGACTTCCCATCTCACCTTAACTCTCTTTGCATATGAATACAGAGGGCGAAGCACTAGGAGCAGGGGGAGAAGGTGTGCCCCCACTATGACAGATGTTGTGGCTCTGGGCAACATTCAGGCTGTTGTATTCACATTACAGATGAATGCACACACCCTTGTGGTTTCATTAATGGCTATACTGAAAGATATGGGAGCCCCTGGTGGTCAAGTGGTTAAGGCGCGGCGCTGACAACGCCGAGGCCCGGGTTCAATTCCCGGTCAGCACACTTCCCGGGCAGATGGAGCTTGTTAGCCCTGTAAGGCAATCCATCTACGTCCTGAGGACCTCACTGCCACCGTCCAAGCTTGCTTGGCCCCGGCAGATGAACCTTAGGATTAAAGGGTGGGCTCAGTTCCGCGCACACTGTGTCTCACCTAAAAAATCCAATGCGCAGGCTGGAAGGTGGAAAGACGTTCCCCGGTTCTTCGTTCGCGAAGACTGGCCACTACTTATACTGAAAGATGAAGAGGCACAAAAATGAATGCATCCTGCAAGAAAACAAAGACAAATGGGAAGTAATCTAAGTAAAGCCCCAACACTGAAACAATGCACATAACAAATCTTTTGAAATTTTGCTTCTTTAAGGAAACAAGCCCTTGTATTCAAATAGGAGTCACCAGTCTTCTCTATAAATAAGAATAAGGAAAACTATATGGCTGAGACAACTGGCAAGCAAGCAAGCAAGGGCCATTACACCTAAAGTCCACTGCAATGTCATGGTCACTTCCTCCACATTCATAGCCATAAGCCTTTTAAAATATCTCTAGTTTTCATAGAATCTATTCAGTTGCAACAACCTATGCTCCCTTTTTAAGACAGCTTGGTAGATGGTGGCATACAAGTCCTGTAATGTGCACAGAGAAGAGTAACACTCTTATCTTCTTATGTCTGTGTAAAACAAAGCAGGCTTTTCATGGATAGGTGGGGATCAGAGGTTTTAATCCAAGCCCCATTTCAGTTAATGCCAAATCATCTCGGAATCTAGGAAAAAAATATGGGAAAATGGGACAGGAGTGGAAAGAGATTTATGAGTTGCAAACCGTGACAGGGAAAATTGATAATTGCTCATACAGCTCTGAGTGCTGTATTTAATTCAGTACATAACTTGGTTGTAAGCTTGTGCTCCTCCTATACTCATTGTGCTTGAGACACCACAGAACTAAGTACTAAAAACCAATGAAACAAAAAAGAATTACTAAACGTAGAAGCTTGGACTGTTGTTCAGTCAGGAGCAAATAAGCAGAGAAGGATATGTGGTGGATATAATGTGGGGAAAGCAAGACCATACTGGGAGGCTTTATGGACGGTAAGCCCTTAGCACACAGCTAATCTTGCATTAAGCATAGGAAACTACACACACACTCGAAAATGTTCTGCACTGGTAAGAGCACTTTATACAGTATGTATCTCACAGACAAGAAGACACCTCAGGGAAAATATCATGTACCATTGTGCAGTTTCTCTCCCTGGGATACAGGCAAAAGAATGCAAGATACTCTGAGCAAAAGGAATAAGCAATATTCACACAACAGTCTGAGACTGACTGAAGCTACGCTTCACGTCTTAAAAACTATGGGGACTGTTTGATTTTCTGATTCACTCGCTATGACCTCTCATATTCCATACTACAAAGATAAAATTATGTCAAGTGTTAAGGATTTGAAGGGGTTGTGACTCTCTTAAGTTTGCTATCAGCATTCTGACATTTTCCTCACCTGACCTGTTTAATCTAGGTGTACACTCTAAAGGGATTCCTGGATTTTCTAGAAAAGGGAAAGGCTAAGCTGTCTGATAGCATTCAATAAATGCCAGTGGTTTGTGCTGGTCGGTTCCTTTTATTTGCTCTAAAGAATGGATATGATTGAAATGAATTTTTCTGAGCATTTCTTCACTGATGAAAAGTGCAGTAGGAGGGACTACATGTTATTGTTGTCACTATTACAATTATTATTATTACTATTATGTTTGTTCTGTGGGAGGAAAGGAGTATAGAAAGATCTCACCAGGGGAAGTCTGAATGATTGGTGCTTCAGTGGCTTTATGTGCAAGTATCCTGGTATATGCTCATTTTTGCAAATTCACCTGCAAATTCGTTCTCTCTTCTCCGCATACAGTCACTGACACAATCTAATACCTGTGAACCATCCAGCACTAAAAACATTAAACTGCAGGGAAGCTCAAACGCTTTCTCATTCTAGGGTGCAGAATATTAAACATAACATCCCTGCATTTTACTAGCTATCATTACCAAATGCTGGCTATCATCAAATACCAGGCTAATTTAAGCTTTCAATTTTCAAAGCAATCTGAATCCATATTCCTTTGGGCTGCACCTGGCCTCGCCCAGCCATGTTACCAGCTTCTTCTGAGTTGCTCCCATTCTGCCTCCACCTGACCCATAGGCCAAGCGCTCCCAGGAGTTAACTGATGTTTCTGTTACGTCCATAGATGTTTCTGTACGGTGCATAATATGAGCAAGAAAGCTGAAGACTATAAAAACACAGAAACTGTTTTTGTTGTGTTGTGCATTGTCAAATGGGGTATGAATACATCTCCAGGATCCCTAGAAACAATTATCATCAATAATCAGAGATAAGGAACAGGTCATGTCAAGTTCAACTCTGGCAAGATCCTGGTCATAAATTTGCAGAGGGACTTGTCCACCTGGGTGATTCATCCCTGAGTTATGAGTTGGAAGGTAAGGAGTGATTTTAGTGAGCTTTACCAGCAGCAGGCACACGTGTATACATGTGTGAGAACATCTGCACAGGCTTTGTGCTCAGCCTAAGGGCTGGTGGGTTTTTACTCTGATGTGTTACAGCTGCTGCACTTGCAGATGTTGATCTGTGTATACAGGCTGTACCTCCCACTTTGGATCAAACTACACTTTTACACAGTATAACAGGCACTGACCTCTGTTCTCTTCAAATTCCTCTAGGCCCTACTGGACTGCAAATAATTACTGTCATAGTTATGTACTTGTCAGGACACACAAGCATCAGCAGGACCAGAAGGCAGATTTGTAAGGGCTGGGGAACAGCATGTCCGTGATGGGTCAGGTTTAACCTCAGGCATGGCTGGGAATTGTAGTCTGCAGACAGCATGTGACTGTGAGCAGCCTCTGACAAAGAATCATGCGAGTATCTGCCGGCATCTAAATAAAAAAAAAAAAAAAAAAAAAAACAAACTGCATCAGTGGAGATGACGAGGTAAGAGTGAAATGAGGTTTGTTGAACCTCCCAAGAGGTCAGAGTGGACAAAGGCTAACCTAGTGGGAAGAGGGCTTGTCTATTCCGACCTGGCTGTTTCTCGAGGTTTTTTACCTCTATCTCGAATCCTTTGCAGTAATTAACAAGTCCTTTAGAAGATGCTGAGGGTAACTTGCCTTTCTCTTGCCTACTACCTTTGTACAGTTGATCAGAATGGATGCGTGGGTTGTGTGATGCCTTCACGGCAGCAGCCCCGACTGTGCTGTTCAGACGTGGTTCTCTCTGCCCCAGCTGGTCCTGACTCTCCACCTATGCCGTGCATCCACTCAGCTCCTCGGGCCATCAGACGGCCTTGCGGGAGATGTGCCCGCTCATGTGAGTGCGTGACTAATCTCATGGAAGCGCTGGCTCAGTGAGCGTTTAGTAACAGGATTTCACCCTTTCCCATTGACCCACCGCTGCAGGCACGAGCAGCCAACAACCAAGCCAAGCTGCAAGCCCGGCCAGGTCAGTCTCCTACAGACAGGGACAGCGAGAGAGGGGAAGCTGCGCCGGGACACGCACACGCGAGGAGAAGGCTGCGCCAAAGCCAGGGGGAAGGTGGGTGCGAGCTCCACAGGCGCTGGTCAGGGTGAGAGCGAGGACAGGGCTGAGATGTCCCGCGCGTCTCCCACCCGAGTCTCCCAGATTCCCAGGGGGACGCGGCTCCCTCCCCGCCATCGATGCGCTCGGCGAGCCCACGCCCCGCCCTCTCCGCCGCCGCGCGGACGCCGCGTTGGAGGCGCTCGGCGCTCGGCCGGCTGGCCCTGGCGGCGGCCCCTTGTCTCGCAGCGCAAGATGGCGGCGGCGGGCGGCGGCGCGGCGGGAAGCGGCGGGGCCGAGTGAGGCTGTCGCGGACCGCGCTCACCCTGCTCCCGCGGCTCGGCGCCGCCGGGACGTGTCGCCGCCGGTGAGGCCGCCCCGCGGCCGGGGCACACCCGGGCCTTCCGCAGGAGCGGAGCCGCGGGCTGGCGTGAGGCTGGAGCGCGCTCGGGTGAGGGGGCGCGGGGCGGCCGAGCCCGCTTTGAACGGAGGCGGCGGCGGCGGGGACCGTCCCGGGGGGCGCTGGGGCGCATGCGCGGCCGGCCGGTGCCCGCGGAGGGGCCGGTGCCGCCTGTCCCGGGAATGCCGGCGGGAAATGAGGCGAGGCAGCTGCTTCCCGCGGGCTGCCGGCGGCGGGAGCGAAGCGCGGGGCCCCGGGGCTGCAGGAGAGCAAGGCTGGGTCTCCATCTCCCGGGCATGTGCGTTACGGAACGTGGAGGCAGAGCTTCCCCGCCGAGCCTGTGCGGTCACTGCTGACACCGAGGAATTCGAAGCAGGGGAACCTGATTAGGATTTATAGGATGAGACTAGTTAAGTGTACGTTTTGTGTTTGCTGGGTGGGAAGTCTGGGTTGTGAGCCCCTCTGAGCCGTATCTACCAACCTTAATACCTGCCAAGCAGGTAAGATTAAATATAGAGTAAAAGGTATTGCACAGAGCTGCAAAGAAATCCCAGTTTCTCCAAGTCATCCATTCATGAATGACTGTCTCCAGCTTTGTTTTGCTGAGCAGTATCTGTATTAGGCCCTTTCCCTCTGGAGCACAATGCTTTAATATCATGTGTCTTCCCACAGAAGTCTGTTTGACAGATGAACATCAGGAGATGTTGACAACATCTGGTTCAAGATCGTGAGCCCACAAGTGGCAAGATGCCTTTTTTTATTGCAAAGTGCAGTGCTCTAGTGCAGATACATGTGCAGTGCTCTTGTGTGTTGGCAGAACTGCTGTGCTTGCTACCAGCAATGTATAGGGGTTGCAATACTGACTTGATATTTTGTGGTGGATGTTTTCCCAAAACCTGAAGATATAACGTGTATGCCTGTGAACTTAAGCAGAAACATCTCCTGTGTACCCTCATGCCTGATTCAGTTGTGACTTTGTTATATCACGTAAGTAACCACTATAGGAATGGATATGTTGTACACTGTACATCAGGCAGTTGTCTGTAAAATTGAGGTGTGTGCAAGGATGTACAAGCACAAGTTCCCTGCTCCCCAAGCATTCCAATATAACTTCAGCGTGGCAAGGTTACCATGACAGCTGGAATGAACAAGCTGCATGGTGGAGCGTTTACACGTGTGCACATACACACAAACACTGAGTTTTTGGTTGGGTGTGATTGGTTTAATCACCTATGAGCAGAAGGTTGATCTTTTCTTGCTAATCTGGTCACTGCCTGAAGAACAAAAGCTGTATGATCTGAGAAATCCAGAGTGTGGCTGTTCCATAATGGTAGTGTCATTTTATATGCCAATAACTGTGGAACAGGAGGACTCAGTTAGAGAAGGCCTGAAACCTGTGGGCTGGCAGAGGTCAGGGTGCTGGAGAAGGCCTAATGAAAAGGAGTGCTCTCTTCAGTCCCCTCTCCCAGGCTGGCACTGAGAATGGCTGCAGTGGTAGCATTGGAAACAATTCAGAAGGGTGCACACCTTCACTACAAAATGTGTGATCCTTTAGTTAAAAACGATTTGAAATCATTGTTTTGTAATATAATGATTTCTGCCTGATCCCTTCTTTTCCTTCACTTCATCTGAGATTCAAGGGTTTGAAATCTCTCTTTAAAGATCCTAATCTTTGCTACAGTGGCTCCTGACAATGGTTTTGACACAGTTTGGGTGCGTTTTGTGTGTCATGAAAATCAAACTCAATCGCCTTCTCACTCTCTTCTACTTTTGTAAAGAAATTACTGTAGTGATTTAGGTATTTTATAAGGAAGAGGTAGTCTTTTCTATGTCGAAAACAATACAACATCCATTTTACTTTTAAAAAAAAAAATCTGTTGAGCCTGGATAATAAGCAAAAACTTATCCAAAGGTAGACTCCTTTCGCACTGTCTTCCAGAGAATCTTCACTTTGTTCAGAGAAAGTTTCCCAGTTTACATAGTGGTTCTTCTATATAGGAGGGTTATTTTCATTCTCTGTTTCTCAGACCTTTTCCTATAGATGGGAACGAGGGAAGGAGCCCAGACGTGGCAGCTCATTCACAGGCAGCTCCTGCAGGACCACCATGGCTTATGATGGCGCCAGGAAGAAAGAAGGTATGACTGCTTCATAATCTCAGAGGGATTTGCAAAAAAAAAAAAAAAAAAAAAAAAAAAAAAAGAGGGTGCCCTACCTCTGCAGCCTTGCCAGGCCATGCAGTCGGAGTGGGAAAGGAAGTTAGTGTGCTGTGGAGCCCTTAAATTTAGCTTGGCCAAGTTACTGGAGGATCCCGAGCCCTTGACTTTCTGGTGTAAAGTACTGGGATTAGAACTTGAGAGAAATGGGTGGTATTTTCTTGTGCAGACACCCTGATTGGAAACTCTGCCACTGCAGCCTTTCTTCTCCCCTGCCAGGTCAGTGGAACTGGGGACCAGCAGTAATGATAAGTTTAGTCATGGTAACACTTCTAGGACCACTTGTCTTTAGGAAGGAATATACAAGGGTTAGAAGTTAAATCTGGAGTGATTGTATTAGAGTGTTAGAGCTCTGAGCCCCATCCCTGTGGTCAGACAGTACAAGCTGTTACCTTTTAGGCCTCTGTGCTTGTTGGGTTTTATGCATCGCTCTGCCAACATCCGCTGTTCTCTTATTTTGTGCATGATCCACATGTCTATCGTTCCATAATGGGGTATTTAATTTCTTCCTTTTTTCCCATTTCATGTAAACCATAGAGTTCCTAGAGAGTCACCGAGGTGTTGATGATGGGCTGGCAACCAGCAGGATACAGCGAGAAAAGAAGCGCTCTTACAAGGATCTGCTGCAAGAGGAAGATGAGGTAGCAACTCAGGTAGGAAGCCCTCAGAGAAAGCTGAAGGTGGAAGGATGTGTGTAAAGCTAGTGATGGAGTGCCTTTCTTGTTCTCTTTTTTTAAATTTAGAAATGCATGTGGAAGGCTGCAAGAGCACCTAATCATTTTCATGGCTTGAGAGTGTATGCATGCTTATTTATTTCTTAGCTTTATTAAGAGGTAGATGTCTGGTTTTTATCACCTCATCAGCTGATCTCCAAGAGCTAGCTTTCACTGCCCATTTCTTAACCCTTTCAAATGTGCTTTTTCAAGTTTTCTTGTGTATTGCTCCTCTCACTTTGGGGGGACCTCCCTCTAGAGATCTGTCTTTCAATTTGCTTGTAGCCCTGTTGTGCTGCAGTGCTTACAGAAAGCTCGATGGTGATCTGGTGGCTGATATGCTGAAACCAATCCTGACTAATACCGTTTTTTGTATTCTCCCACATTTCTGTAATTTGTGTTTTGTCTTACTTTAAACTATGTGCTCTTGGGGTCAAAGCATGTTTCCTTTCAGCACCCAGAATGATGATCCTGGCTCATACCTAGGGTTCCTTGATGTTACAGTAGTACAAATAACTCTTGATATCTCCTACAAATTGTTACCTACATTAAGAGTTCATGTGAATCTCATATTATTTCCCTCTTTTTTGTCAGCAACATTTTTCTTCTTATTCCAGGACAGTGACTTTTTTCCAGGAACAGAACCTCACAAAAAGAAGAAAAAGCACTCCTCCGATGAATTCTGCTACAGAGGTAAGACAGTAATCAAGCAGGGGAAGGGGCTAACAGATCATGACTTTGAGGAAAGGATGCTCTTAAACCAGTTTCATGAAGCTTTGTGGTTAGCATTTTATGGGGGGTAAACCTGCCTAGAACAAGTAATCAGAAACCTGATGCTAATCAGCACCAGACAGCAGAAGATTAGGGAATTATATTTTCAGAGTCCAGCTTAACAAGTTGCCATTGTTGGGGGTAGAGATCTTCCACCTCCTTTTCGTTGACAAGCTGTAGTCTTCTAACCTATGTCTTCCCATTTGGCATTTGCATTTCTTTTTATCTTACTGCGTTACAAACTATAATTATACTTGCAGGTAATATTACCTTTCCTGTATTTATAAAAATAAAATGTATGAGGTTGAAAAATAAATGCTTTTCTGCTCACTTATTCTCTCATTAAGTTGGCCAGAAAATGACAATTCGACTCATAAAAGCTTAACATGTTTAGAATTTTATTTTTGGCACAATGGAAGGAGAAAGCCAAGCATAAATTTCATCAAAATCTGTCTAGAGATTGAAAAAGCTCGTATTTTCAATTCATTGGTCTCGCATTAGCTAAAAGTGGCATGAAAACCTTGCACTCAAGGTGTAATTTCAGGCTCAGTAAGATATATTTCTATCAAAATATGTTACTTCACAATAGAATAGAGTTTGACAAAACTTCAGGAACTCTCCTGCTGTCTTCCAGTAGGAATTTTTTACCAGCTTGGGTGTTACAGACTCTGAATTGTATCAGTAAGACCATGCTGAGCTGGCTACAGTCTTGAGAGGTGTTCTATTTAAGCCAGGCTGTAAATCTCTTAGCTGCAAATTGTAAGTCTTGCAGGATTCCCACTTCCTTTCTTTGCTGTCTTTAAGGGAGTCATCTTGATGTACATTTCTCTTCATCTTTTTCAGGTGTTTCGCCTCTGGATCTACCATCAAAGAAGAAGAAAAAAGCAGCTTCTAGCCCATCCTCAGCTGATCCAACCATGGATTTACTCAAGGCTATCACCTCACCTTTGGCCACAAGCTCAAAGTCTTCAAAGAGGACCTCTGAAAAATCATCTCATTCTTCCTCTGGCCATTCTGAAAGCAGAAAGGAGCACACCAAGAAAAAGCTGAGTGGGAGCAGTGCGGAGCACTCAGTGGACGATGGCAGCTCCCACAAATCTAAAAAAATGAAACCTCTCTATGTGAACACGGAAACACTTACTCTTCGTGAACCTGATGGCTTGAAGATGAAGCTCATCCTTTCACCGAAAGAGAAAAGTAGTGCAGCAGATGATGATGCTTTATCCTACTCTTCAACACCAGCAACTGCAAAGAAATCTTCAAAGAAATCAGCTCGAGATGAGCAAGGCTCATTTCTGCTGGGTCATGAACTGCAGGGCTTTCTGAAGTCATCTCGAAAGAAGCACAAACCGCCTTCTGACTCACATCCGCCTTCTGATAGTTTTGGTGCTGACACCTCCCTTCATTCAGAGGGCCATGGAAGCGAGTACGAGATTCCAGGTATGGAAGCGCCGCCAGAATCTGGTTCTTCTTCTGGTGGCGAGTTGGAGGCTGGAGAGCTAGTGATAGATGACTCCTACCGGGAAATCAAGAAGAAGAAGAAGTCCAAAAAAAGTAAGAAAAAAAAAGACAAGGAGAAACACAGAGAGAAGAAGCACTCTAAGTCTAAAAAGAGTTCCGGGCATTCTCCTGTGGCGGTAGCAGAAGTAAGGGTGTCACCACCACCTCCCAGTACCCCCTATGTTGTTCCTCCACCTCCTCCTGCTGGTTCTCACTCAGATGGTCAAGGTGAGAAAAGAAGGAAAAAGGAAGACAAGGAGAAAGACAAAGCTGAAAAATGGGAAAAGGAGAAGGAAAGAGACAAGGAAAAGGAAAGAGACAAAGAAAAGGAAAGAGACAAGGAAAAGGAAAAAGAAAAGGAAAGAGAAAGAGAAAAAGAAAAGGAAAGAGAGAAGGAAAAGGAAAGAGAAAGAGAAAAAGAAAAGGAAAGAGAGAAGGAAAAGGAAAGAGAGAAGGAAAAGGAAAGAGAAAAGGAAAAAGAAAGAGAAAAGGAAAAAGAAAGAGAAAAAGACAAAGAAAGAGAAAAGGAAAGAGAAAGAGAAAAAGTAAGGAAAATTGGAGGGAAAGTACAAAATTGGGTGGTGGGTAATGGTGGATTAGGCATTCCATTACAAAGACATGTTAAACTGAAACAGAAGGATAACTGATACCACTATCAATGGTTTCACTGAAGCACGTTTGGAAAACTTTGTCAGCCACTGTGATTTGTAGCAAAAGGAACATGTTGGTTTGTCTTTGTGGCACAGGTAGTCTTTAGCCGATAGAGGTTCTCTGGAAAGGTTATACTTAATTTTACTTTGTACAGGTCAGGTATCAAGCAAAGCTGCATCATTTTCTAACATAACTGGTTCAGGCTATTGCCAGGCAGACTTTTGGACTAGTGATCTAGTCCATCATCACAGTAAAAAGGAATCAAGCTCTTACCTGAAAAGTTAGGATATTTACCCATTTACTCCTCTAATCAAGTGAAATTACAATTCTTATAGACTACCATGTTCCCAGTTTTGTCCTGTACTTATAAATTCAGTTTTCCATGGTTACTGTATAAAGAAATGAGTAGCAGAAATGGTTACTAGCACATGAACAAGTTTGCAAATTATGTAACTGTAGCTGTGTAAGTTTACAAATGGAGAAAAGCAGTTTCTACATGCTCAGATAGAGAAATGCTGCTTTGTGCGAGGAAATGGGCAGACAGAGCCCAGATCTGTTCAACCATTATCCTATTCTATTTGGGAACTTTTCCCTGATCATAGCTTGGCAACTGCAATATCTCTGCTGTCTATGTACTTAGACAATCTGTTTTCCTGCCAATTTGAAATACTTTGTAAGGATGCAAGGGATAGAACAAAATATTGTCATGAGGACTGAATTGTTTTGACAGATCTATAATAGGTACTGTGGATAGTGTAACAGATAGTGGTTTTTGTTTCAGGTTTTAAAACTGAGATACATTAACAGAGGGGTATGTTGATCCTGAAATTAGAATAGCAGGTTGCTGTTGAGCTTTGTAAGATGAGCCGTGTACTAACACTGGTTCTGGCTGGTTCCTGTGCTTTCATAAACATTAAATGCAGCCAGAACATGTAAAACATTGCTTTTTAAGGTTCCTCATTTAAGTGCCATACTTTTCTCTAAGTCTTCAATAAATGCCAAATTCTTATTAAATTGGAGAAAGTCTCATCAGGATTAAAAATCTTTGTTTCCTTTCTTCTTCTGACTAGCCAAAGAAGAAAAACATGTCTGCCTATCAAGTGTTCTGTAAGGAATATCGTACAACTATTGTGTCTGAGCACCCCGGAATAGGTAAGAGAATAACTGAGCCTTTTCTATTGCTTATACACCAGTCAAATTAATTAGGAGAACATATAATCTCTGTTTCAGACCAACCCCTTACTTTTGACAGAATGCAAAGAATCTGCCAACTTAGAGTAAGAGGTGGCAAAGGGGACAGGAGTGGATTTTCATAGAATCATAGAATGAACTGGGTTGGAAAAGACCTCCGAGATCATCAAGTCCAACCCTTGATCGAACACCACTGTGGTTACTAGACCATGGCACTGAGTGCCACATCCAGTCTCATCTTAAAAACCTCCAGGGACAGTGAATCCACCACCTCCCTGGGCAGCCCATTCCATATGTCTGATTACTCCCTCTGTAAAAAATTTCTTCCTAAAAGATTCATGATTGTATTATAATTACATTTTAACCAAGCTGTGAGCCTGGATAAAGAAATTGCTAACTCTTTCGTCCTTTACTTAGAGAGTTACCTTCATTGTGTCACCTTCCTGCAAATACACTGTCACTTCATATTCCTGGTATCAGCTTTTTTTTTCATTTTAAACAGCAGCAGGAATGCACACTATCACTCATTTTCAGGAGAGTGTGGAGAGTTCCAGTTGTGCAGTGCCCTGCTTTCTGAATGTGTATGGATAGGCCTGTAAGTTTCCTATGTTCTCTCTTTGATTTTATGATCTAATTTGTTTGAAACATTTTTCTTCTTTGTTTCTGCCAGATTTTGGAGAGTTAAGTAAAAAACTGGCAGAAGTGTGGAAGCAGCTACCTGAGAAGGATAAACTGGTGAGTGTGTGAGTGAGATCTTTTTGTAAAATGATTTCTGTAAATTAGGTGCTCAGATCAGAATGTGCTAGCAGCATTGCCACCATACCTTGAAATATGCTACCTATGTCCCCCAAGTATGTGAAGATGGAAAGTATGGAAACCTTGCCCTTGCAAACATAAAAGCCTTCATTTCCTGCTCATGGTATTGCTTCATCCGTTAGCTACATAACATCATTCTGCCTCCAGGTCCTGGCATCAGGTAGCAGAATTACCTAATGTTATGAATCTCCCTTTTCTTACCATGGTAACTACAGATCTGGAAACAGAAAGCTCAATATCTCCAACACAAGCAGAATAAAGCAGAGGCCACCACTGTGAAGAGAAAGGCATCGTCTTCAGATGGTGCACCACCAAAAATGAAAGGTAATTGTTGCACTTTATTTGCCCTCATCTTTTTCCTCGGAAAGGGAAGATAGTGTTGCCAGTGGAATAAGAAGCAAACATCCTTACCTGCTTCACATCCCTACCAGATTTCTCACAAGATTTGACATTTAAATCACCATAATAGCCAAATCAATTTTTCTTAGAGAGCGAGAATGATGTCAGCATTTTTCATACAGATTTCCTTGTCCAATTCATAGAATAGTATTGTTTTTAGCACTTCAGGGATTGAAATGTAAAATAAGAGGCAGAAAGGAAGTTGTAGTGGGATTAATTTTGCTGCTAGAGGAAAATTGGTTGTTCTTGGTTTGGCGTCCCTGATACCAAATCTCCACAATTGCATTCAGCTGAGGTAGATGCTTTGTACATGTAAAAAAAAAGCTTTGACTCTAAAGACCACACAATTGGGTCCCCAGAACTCTTTAAGCATCTCATGCCTTTGAGATTTGAACTTTACTCAGTAAATAGGCTTGTAAGTAAAAGAGCAAAAGAAACAAATATGGAGTTTTAATTTGCATGTTTCCAGCTTCTCCAACAGGAGTGATTTCCCCTCATAAGAAATCCCCCACAAGCACTGTGGTGGTGCCTTCCTCACCTGCCAAAGCCCCCGAGACAGATCCTATTGATGTAGCTGCACACTTACAGCTGCTTGGTGAATCCCTGAGCCTCATTGGACACAGACTGCAGGAAACAGAGGTGAGTCTGTAACCAGCAATTGATGATTATTTCATTTAATCTAAAAGTTTTAGCTGATGGTTTTCATTTAGGAAGAGAAACTAGAGGTGATGTGCCGTGGTTTTTTATGCATTGCTCCTTATGGTAGTTTTCTGGCAGTATCATATTGCCAGTGCTTTTGATAGGGGCTACTGTTGTTTCAACTTACCTAGTAACACAGAAGATATTTTAATGGTTTACTACTGTTAAATGATAGTGATTCTATGAGTGCACACACATACATGCGCTTTCAGAACTCAGCCCAGACTCTAAGCAGAACATGTATTTGTCTCTAATAATACCACTGAATTTTATGGGTAGCATGATCATCTCATCACACTGTACTTGCAAGAACATGTATTTCACTGCTGATGAAACAAGCTTTTTGTTTTTGGGATGGATGAGATAATTTTCACAGGAAGAATCAGAGTACAGAAAGGCACAAAATTCCCTTTCCTGAATGTATATCAATGACTAAAGCATTTGTTACAGACATAGCATTTCTTTAAACTTCATAAATCAAAAATTATTGTCATTAGGACTCATGTAGTTAAACAAAACAGATGGTATGAAATGACAAAGCAAGTTCATTACAAACATTTGGGAAATTCAGTGTTTTATGCAACTCACAGCCTTCTGACCTTTTTTGTTGTTCCCTACCTTTTTCTTGCACCAGTATGTTGCCTACTGAATTCTTAAATTTTTTGACCCAGCAGTCTCTGCTAGCACTCTAGGCACAGTTTTGTTACTGTGTAAACAATGAAAGTGGAGTAGAGGAGCTGAAGATACTGTATCTGCATGAGGATTGATACAGTTGAGAAAGAACCATAGGTTCCACTACTCATCCCCATCCAATTTTTTTCTTTACTGCCAGGGAATGGTGGCTGTTTCAGGAAGTTTGTCAGTACTTCTAGATTCAATCATCTGTGCTTTGGGCCCATTGGCATGTCTGACCACACAACTGCCTGAGCTGAATGGCTGCCCGAAGCACGTTTTGGTGAGTTCCCTGTGGTTATATGTTACCATTATATGATATTGTGTAACTGTTTATCTCCCATTGGCAACTGACCAAATATTTGTAGCATTAATAGCAGTGTGGGTAGGTCCTGGTTTAGGGATGAGTTAATCCATCTGAATCAAAGTGCCAGTACAAGTACCAGTATTTTTGAAAGTTCGATTTTCTGTAAAGATACTGCCCCCCCCCTTCTAGCTGCTTTGTATGACACAAGTTAATTTTCCTTTAGAAGCATAAAAAATAGTTTGTGATCTCAGGATTTCTGATGTGATGGTGTAGGGCCTTTTACATGTGGCTGAAACTTTCTCTGAGGAAAGAAAAATAGTCTCTGTTTTGAGGAACTGCATAGCTACAAGTTCTTTTCCACTTTAAATTACACTGAGTATTGAGCCCTGATTTAGCAACAGCTTTGGCATCTATGTAGCCTGATGTGACAGATTAAGATGGCAGCAGCATAAAAGGAATTGGGAGTCATATCCTCCCATAACAGGAGACATGAGTAAAACCATGAAGGATAGAAGCAAAGATCAAAAATACACAATCTGCAAAAGTTGAGAGACAAATCTGGCAGAGAAAACAACAAAAACGGGATAGGAATTGGCATGTCATAATAGGGCAGCCCAAACATTGATTCATTCTGAGAACAGGCTGTTAACAACAGGAACAAAGTCGACAGCTTAGGCTGTGAGCTCCCACAAACTGGCTCTCTGCACAAAAGCTGAGTCAGTGGGGTGTTCCCATCCTAAGCCATGGAAAAATTATATGCTTTTTTCCTTCTTGCTTGCCAAGTGCAAAGATACCACATGACTAATGGTGAGTTTATTGGAAATTTGATCAACTTATTGTTATAAGGAGCAGTGGAGCTTTAGGTGAATTAAAGCACATACCCTTCAATTCTGAAAACTAGTGTTCAAGAGTTGATAATAAATAAATAATTCTGATTTTTACTGTCAGATACATAACGAAAATGGATGAAATTCAGCAATTGTGTTGCATGTAGAATGCAGTTTATCTTTCAGGCAGTAGGTGGCATTGTTAACTTCTGGAATCACAAATGGTACAGGTCTAGCTCCTCCAATTAAAAGGTGGTGTTCTAAGGCTTTCTGCTATCCAGCCACAGGCTTGAGCTTACTGAAATACTGCACTTGAAGAAACATAGAGTTGGGGACTTTTTTTCTGAGGTGCATGGAATGATTCTTGCTCTGAGAATTGTGTTATGTTTTGCAAGAAAAACTGAAGAGCACTTCTTTTTTCCCCATCTGACACCCTTTTCAGGGTGTGTTTAAGGCTTTTTCTCTTTACTTTTACTCTACAGAATTTCATCGAGAACTTGTGAGTGTAAAGTCAAATAATTTTTTTCTATATGCTACAACTTGGATCACCTTGCTCGAATCCTTCATCACTGGTTTTTCTGTGATGTGATATGGTCACTGGCTCGCAAAGATAAGAGTATAGAGTTCATAAGGAGGAGGTCACTTGGGGAAAACCTCAAGCATTTTCAGTGTTTCCAGTGCTTACCGTTACCAAGGTTACCTTTATGTTTAGTTAACCTTCATTTCCAAAAATGCAAAAATAAGGCTAGTGATTGATAGGCAGATTTGGTTGTCTCATCATATGATAACTTGTAAGACAAGTTCATACGGTTAGTATCCTCTTCTGTGTAATTTTTAAGCATTTTGAGTTATTGCCTGACACTAAAAAATACTGAATTTCTTTTCCCAGTCAAACACACTAGACAACATTGCCTACATCATGCCTGGACTTTGATGGGAAAGGATTCTGGGATGTATACTCAACCTCTGCCTAACTGACTTGTGTACATATGCACTACGCCAGAGCTCCTGAAGGGCTCCATGTGGAGGCTTTTAAAGTTTTATATGTGTATAGTATATACATAGGATTGTAACTATTTGAGTTCAATTTTATGAAAAGTTGTGAAGATGAGAAAACCCTTTTGTGTCAGCGGGTGAAACGTCCTCCAATCTGAAAGTAGTTTGTATGAAGAATTCAGAACACTTTTGAGATACTTGCCTTAAATATAGATCCTTTGATGGGGGAAGCAGGCAGAGAATGGACTTCTTGATGTAAAGAAGAAAGCTGTCACCATGAGAAAAGTCATTGAAACAGATGGCCCAGAGGGGTTCTTGACTCTCCATTCTTGATGGTTTCAAAAATTGAATGAGCAGCCTGCTCTAGTTGGACTTTCTTTAAGCAGGGAGATGGACCAGATGACCTCCTGATACCCCTGCCAACTTAAAGTATTCTGATATTCTATGGGCAGATAGAGATGATAGTATATTTTGGACCAAGAAATAGAACTGAATTCTTCACCAGCCCTATTTGTAACTCTTTTTCAGTTTAAAATCCACTGCTTGAGGGGAAAGCTGGATAGCTGATTAAAGATACAGAGGTCTTTGCCTCTTGGTCACTTTGTCCAACCCTTGCTCCTCAGTCAGTAGTAACGGAAAGTTGTCAGCGTCAGCTGGCTGGTCTGGTAGCTGGCATTTGAAGTAAAATAGAAGATGTCAACAAGTTTAATTTTTTCTTGTGGACTCATACCCAAATCATCATTAGCACAATGTATCAACCAACTGATTGGCTTGAGAGAATGAACCTCCTGCTGACTTTTTCCAGGGCATGGTCAGTCTGCTTTGATGGAGAGGAGTGCAGAAGCAGATGGGAAAAACTTGGATTGCTTCTGCCTATCTTGCGCCTGTTTTGTGAGATTGCTCCCCCCCATCCCTTTCACCAGCACTATTGAAAGAGCCTGGTGCTGCTGCGAGGCAGTGACTGCTGACTAGTTTGAAGCAGGTATGGCTGAGTAAGGCACATTTTGGTTGATTGGACCGGTTCTTCTTCCTTCTTCCAGCCACATACTTGGAGTTGGGTTTTCTGCTCCTCTGGAAGAGGAGATGCGGGAGAAGACTTGATTCCTGTTTAGACCTATGTCTGTCTTGTATGTGTATGTGGTGTTCATATCACATGTATTTAACTTTTACCAATATCTGTAACAGATTTTAATTTATCCTGTATATTTCTCTCTCTCTGTGTGTGTGTGTGTGTGTGTGTGTGTGTATATATATATACATAATTTAAAAGCAAAAATCCCTCGGCCAACAGTGTGTGGAAAATAGGAATCAACTTTGCCTCACCTCAGTTCCTGCAGGAATCAGCTATATGTGGGAAAACACGAGGGAGATTCTAAGTGTTTGTAAAAACAGGCTATCTTGTGAAAGTAGGTAGAACAACTGAAATATAGTTTGACTCAAACCTTTCCAGCTCTGTAACAGGAAAGTTTTAAAATTACAGAAGAGTCTTTTTTTACATCCAAGTAAAACTAGCTTCTGTTTTTCAGGATAGTCGAAAGTGAACTATCCCTAATTCTGGCTAAGCCCCAAATGAGAAGTAAATTAAATCCTTGGGTGTGCAGAAGGGTTTTTCTCCCCATGCCTCTTCACCAGGTATTCCGCAGATGTGCCTGTGTACAAAGTAGTCTGTCTCTTACAGAGTTTTTCTCAGTGCAGTGAGAGATTTTCTCAGTCAGTTAGTGGAAGAGCCAAAAGGTTCTCAGACCACTGGACCAGAACACACGTTTTAACAACGTATGACAAATCCCAGTGAGCCCAGAATTAGAAAGGTCCCAGGAGGAATCCTAGCCCATATTGAACCATCTGCTGCTGGGAGCGGCACAAAATAACTGGTTTTTTTACCAGCCCTTTACAGTTGAGAGCACTGTGGTGAAGGGACAGATCTGCTTTCAAAGAAACAGATGGGGATCAGCTTTAGCTTTGTTGTCTGTACAACGAAAAACTCTTGAAGAGTGAAAAACACACACAACCCTGGTGTATTGTATTTTTATTAAAATTTGTACACTTTGTATAATCTGTATCTTGTGGTATTTGGTACTATAGGGAAAACTTTGGCAAGACAGCCATTTTTATATTTTTGTTATTTCTTTGCTGTTTGGTCCAGATTACATTACAATTATACATGGACACTTTTTTGTACTGTACTTACAATATAATTTTTTTTTTTAACATTTGGAGTATTGTCGTTCATTTCTGGCATGCCCTGTTTTCTGCAGCTGTTGTTACTACTCATATCTAGTCTTTCTGAGCAAAGCACATCCAACCCTATCCCCACTAAGCTCAGTTTGCAGGCAAGCTGTATTCTTTGCAGCAGGACAGGTCACCCCAATCGCTGGAAGACCCCTGGGCATTTGGCTCTTCTTTCTGAAGGGAGACAAACCATCGAGTACTACGGATAGCACTGGGGCATTCCTCTTCCCTGCTGCCTCACCTCAGTTTGGGTTCATAGTATCAGGTGAGACCAATACTTGGGACTTGAGTGTGTTCCATGGGATGTCAGGCGTGGCAGCATCAGAGCAGGATTTGTGCTGGTTGTTAACATGTCCCCATTTTCCGGGTATGGGTGTTGGTTGATTGCAGCCGCAGCTTGGGCAGGGCTGGGGATTAGGCCAGGAGCAGGTCACAGAACACTGTGCCTTACCAGCAAACCTGTACAGGGTCACGGGATGGTTTGAGTTGGAAGGGACCTTAAAGCTCATCATTACAGCACTCTGCCATGGACAGGGACACCTTCCACTAGACCAGGCTGCTCAGAGCCCCATCCAACCTGGCCTTGAACAGTTCCAGGGAGGGGATATCCACCACTTTTCTGGGCAACCTGTTCCAGTGCCTCACTACCCTCACAGCAAAGAGCTTCTTCCCAATTTCTACAAGGGTGCTCCCACACCAGGCCCTGGAAAACTAAAACCCCATCGCTACAGGCTTTCCACGACTCGGGCACCGCTCTGGGTGTTCTGCACGAGCTCGGGTGGCTGCAGAAAGCGGCGGAGGCTCCCGGCGGCAGGAGCCCCTCTGTTCCCGCGGGCCGAGGCTACGGGCCGGCAGGACACCTGTCCGGCAGTCACCGCCCCTCCGCACGGCGGCTCCGCGCCTCGCTCAGACCGCGGCCCGGTGGGGCCGGGCCGGGGCCCCTCCCGGGCGGCGGCGGTGGCGTCACAGCGGGGCCCGGCGGGCCCGCCCCGGCCGGCGCGCGAGTCACGTGAGCGGCGGCGGCGGCGGCGTCAGCTGATCGCGGCGCGGCGGCGGTGGCGATGGACTTTCTGCTGGGGAACCCTTTCAGCTCCCCCGTGGGGCAGCGCATCGGTGAGACCCGCACCCGCGCCCCCTGGGCCCCCGCGCGGCCCCGCGAGCCCGCTCACCCCCGCCGCCCCGGGGGCGCCCGACAGACCCTTCCTCGGGGAAGCGCCGGGCCCCGCCCCCGCGGCGGGACCGAGCCGGCTCTGGCCAATCAGAGCAGAGCTCCTCTCTGACTGACGGGCACCGCCGACCAATAGCGAGCGCACAGCCCGAGGCGGCTCCCCCGGGGGCCCCGCCAACCAATCCGGGCGCGAGGGGGTCTAGGGGTTAAGTTTGCTCGCTTAAAGGGGCCGCGGGCCGGGGGCTCGGGCCACGCCCCCCGAAGCTGCCAAGGCCCGTGATTGGCTCGGGGCCATTCCCGCCAGCGCCTCTTCGGGGGCTTCGCGGCGGGGGCGGGGCCGCGCCGGGGGCACAATGGGAGCCGCTGATTGGCTGGGCACGGGGGGAAGGGGTGCGTGAGCAGCGGTGGCACGAGGGGCGCCCTCGGAGGCTGAGGGGGGCGAGGGGACAGAGGGGACAGTGGGGACAGAGGGGGCTGCAGGGACAGCAGCGACAGCAGCTCCGGGCTGGCCTGTCCCTGTGGCGTGCGGCTCACCCAGTCGGACCAGAGTCCTGCACCCGAAGGTCGTGCGCTCTGGGCACCGAGGGCGGCTCCCCGTGCTGAGCTCTGGGACGAGCGTCAGGGCTGTGGAGAGCAGCTCCCTGCGGCCCGGGCAGGCTCAGGACAGTGAGCACGGCGCCCACGCTGTGACCTGGCTGGTCTCCCGCAGCCCCTGCGCTCAGGGCAGCTTGGGGAACGTGGGAGAAAGATGTGGTCGGAAAGCAGAGCAGCGAGGCCACAGTTAGAACAAGACCATCAGCAGCTGCACTGGTGTCAGAACAGAGATTCTTAAAATCAGTTCTTTGAGCAGTTCTTGAAATAATTAGAATGAAGACCTGTTCTTCCCATGCTAAATTGCCTAAGGGCCTTCAAGTTGCACTTGAAGGTTGATGCCCATTTAAACTCTCCATCTGTGAGTTTATGCACTTCCATTCTTCCTGTTTGTCACTTGGCAGACCTTTGCTCTTCGCTGTGAACATCTGGTCCTGGATTCAGTCATTTTTGGTGCATTCGCGTGGGTGAATGGGCTGCTGTGGCTGGGGTGGGAAGGGAGCAAGCAGCTGCTCTGAGTAATGCTTTTGTAGGCACTGCTTATTTTAGAGGCTGCCCTAAGCACTGTCCAAAAGTGGGTCATTGGCTCTGCAATGTACCACTCTGGTGTTGGGTCACATAGGTGAGATGCACTACAGCAAGTTGGGGGATGGATCATCAGAGATCATTCTGTTATCAAAAACCTCCAGATGATCTTCAGCATCTCCCCAGAAGAACGTCACATGCTTTATCACACGTCCCAGGAAAAGCTGTCTCCTGCCCTTTCCCAAATGAATGCTCTTTGTTCTCTTGGTGACTGTATCAAATATGTCCTTGTGCTTGGGTAGAGGCAATCTGAGGATGTCACAGATCCCTTCTTGCCCTCCAGATCTTCTGGTCAGTATAGTAACCAGATTGTAAGTGGGGCCCCTCTGGGCCCTTCAATTAAAGAAGGGATTCCCAAGCAACAAACCAACAGCAAAGAAGAGGGGAAAAAAGGTATTGCAAGAGTGTTGTTAAAGAAGAGTTGAGAATCCCTAGTAACAGAGGTATGATAGTAGGGAGATCTTAGTGACTGGGGTTATTTGGGGTTATCTGAGTCCAAAGGGGTGGAGGAATTACTGAAGATGAGAAAGGAACTCAGTGCGGAGGACTTGAAAGGGGTGGTGGCTGAAAATATGAATGTTTTCTCCCTTTGAACATTGTCTATCAACATCCTGGGGACATCAATAAATGCTATCTTCCCTGTTTAATTTGAGACGTGAACATAACTTACCCAAACTTGTTTGGTAGGTCAGTTGCAGCTTCGTGTTCAACCCATGAGCCTGATCACCAAACCTGCATAGTGCTGCTGCTTTGGGCTGTCTGCAAAAAGCTAATGCTGCGTCCTTGTAAATTACTTAGGCAAAGTCATGTATGCTTGATATAGTTTATGAGGTCTAAAATAGCTTTAGATGAAGGCTAAGGAATATTTTAAAACTCCTCTGTGGCACACTGCAGCGATGTTCTCAAATTCCTTCAATAATGTTAATCTAGTAAGACCCATTTATTTTGCTGACTAGGAATCCAGAGCTGAGATAATCTCAATGATCTGTCACAGAATGAGTCAGTTGCAGAGGAGTAGGTTTTCTAGTTTCTTACTCACAGTTCTGAGATTTAGTCACAAAAGTTGCCTCTGTCCTGTTTTTGTTTGTGATGTCTCTTCCCAAGGCAGAGGAATACAGAGTTGCTTGTTTGTTTTTTCAGTATTTATTTTTGTTGTGTGAGGGTTTTTTTAAACACAGCACTTCTGACCAGTGGGAAATTTTCCAGAGTGATGAAGCATTGTAGTTTGGATTCCCCCCTCAAAAGGGAAATCTGCTGCACCTCCATCTCAGAGCTAAGAGCAGCTTTTTTCCACTTTCAAAGTGGAAAATCTAATTTCAAGGAGGTGAATTCCCTCTGCGTGAGAGAACGGAGAGGAAACCACCAATACTCTCTCCTCACCCTGGAAGTCTGAAATAACTGGTAATTATAGCAATACCAAAAGGGACAGAGGCAGGTTATTTCAGCGTGTGAGGGCAGGCAAGGGAGAAGAGTAACGGTGTAGCACAGAGATGAGGATTTTTTATGGTTGGGAGTTGTTTTAAGCATGAGAACCAGTACAAGTTGAGAATGTGAAGAGGGAGCAAGTAAGAGAGGTTCATGGGTGAGGAAGAGGGGCAGATACAACACAATATGCTAGAAAAATCTCCACAGCCATTTGGATCCCACCTTGCAGGTGTCACTGCGCCCCTCTGTGAGTTGGGACCTTGGGAGCAGTTGTCAGTAATACTCTCCTGTTGGAGCCAGGGGGGTCCCTGCAAGGCTGTGCTTCTCCAAAAGGCATTGCCTTGTCTCCTGTGCCCCCTCTGTGTGGAGGAGAAGGGGAAAAGGCAGAAACTGAAGATTCACTTGATCCCTGAGAGTTTGAGTTGAGTCACAGGAAAGGAGCAGGAGTTTAGAGACCCAAAAACCCACAGCACTATGTCAGCATAGCCTGTGTCCATCACCGTCCTTGCGTTAGCCTTGGAGCCATATCTCTGTTATCCCTAGAAAGCATTTTGTCCCCTCAGTCTTTGGAGGAGTGATACAGCTAAATGAGGGAGTCCTAACAGAGCTGAAGTTCCTTCAAGGGAAGCAAAACCATGAGGCTTAGCAAGGAGAGTTTGTACAGGGTGCTGATTTGGGCCAGGGGCTTTATGAACTGAAGGGAGCTTGGGAGAAAGGACTGTTGTGTTGCTTTATGTTGAACCTATTTAGTCTTGTGCAATGAAATGTTGGTGCGCTCAAATGCCTATTGGAATGCGTGAGAATGTGCTTGATGCTTTGCTGAGGAACTTAAAAGCCAGCAAGACTGATCCCTGTAGGGAGCACTATTTAATGGCTTGATTTGGAGGAGGGGCACACAGCTTCTGACCTGCTATGGCAAAGCATATCACAGGGAGAGAGTTCCTGAACGGCACCTGTCTGGTTATGAGTGCTTCAGATCCAGGATGGGGACCAAAGGGGACAGAAGCCCATGCAGAATCTTCCGTCCCTGGCTGCTTACTTCCCCACATCATGGACTGCAATGATGGTGTGCTGCTGCAGAGACGGTTGGGTGGGATTGCCAGACTTAACAGTGGGCTCTACCCTGCCATGCATGAAGGCAGAGACAATAAACTTGAAAAGAAGCAAAGTTGGGAAATTCACTCATGGCACAAAGCAAGGTACAGCTCCCTTGTGTCAGTTATACTAAGCTCGGAGTTCTTTGTTATCTGATGACTCCAAATAACTTTCATAACCTAGTTGCAATCAGCAGGAGCACATCAAATGCCAGGCAGGAAAAGAGTCGATGCTCTGGTTGAACCCGTACCACAGTCCTCAGTGATGCTGGGTCGATCTGAGCAATTTGTGAGGCAGCAGACTGGAATCAGACAAACCCCAATGCTGTCACACCCGGGGAACTGGACTGGCTGCCAAAACAATGTGGCTTTGAAACAACCCCGTGAAGGGGCCTCCTATACATTCAGCAGCCAGTAGGTTTGGGGCTTGGAGGGAGACGGCATTCGTAGATAGTCTCTGCCGGGGGGCCGTGGGTCAGGCTCAGCTGTTAGCACACAGAAGGAGATGCTGCCTGATGAGTCCCACCAGGCAGAGTGCTGGGCATGCAGTTGTGCCCTGCCTCCTGTGCTCGCTGTTTTTAGGGACCTGTCACTGCCCTCAGCCATCCAGGGCTCAGATTTCATGAGGGGCAGACAGCTCATGTGCTAATTACGGCTCGTGAAATGGGGCCAGCCACTCTGATCCTTCATGTGACTAATGAATTAGACTTTGTTTCCTTCTCTTCTGCAGGCTTTAGAAAAAGGGTAAAGTTCAGGATTTCAGAGAAAACTCCAGCATATCTTATTAGGCTCGGACAGTCCCTTAGAGCTTGGAAGAGAGCAAGGAGGATTAAAAGGGCATTAGCTCCAGCTCTCCCAAGGCCAGATAGGCCAGGCCTTGATCTGTACTGGGTGAACTCAAGTACTTCGTGTTTGGAATTGCCTCAGGGTCACATTCCTGTTTTCCATATACCCTAATACTGCTCTTCCAGCTTTTTATTTTATAAGCCTACATTGCATTTATGACAAGTTTACTGCTTTCCTGCAGCTCTTCCTTGATGAATGTATGAACAGGGGTGATGGTAGCAGGACCACAGCATTGTGAACCAACAGCAAGGCAGTGTGTGTCACTTCTGAGGAAGCCAAGTTTTGTCATAAGTGGCCAGAGCATGCATGGTTTATTTGCATTCCTGTCCGAAAAGCAAACCTACTGCTCGACCTTGGCAGGATTGGTGTGTTTGGAGGAAAAGGAGTGGTGGGGATCAGGTTACAGAGTGCCACCAAACATTGGGAAGCAAGGGAAGGGTGTTTGCAGATTCAGTTCATGCTTGTGTACAATGGCAGTGAGAATGAGGAGAGTTGGGGAGATTAGAATAGCAAGGACTTGATAGTTAAAGGCAGTTTTTATTTTGTCCTTGGTTTCTTCTGTAGCTCAGAGCTTCCAAGCAGGCTCAGCCCTGTTCCCAAGTTGTGGGTTTTTCCTTCCATGTGGAGTGAGAAGACTGCGAGAAGAGAGGATGTAGACAGCAGAGCAATGAAATGGATTTGTGTGATTCATTTCCAGCAGCAGCAAACAGTACAGAGAAAATTCTGGCTTCTTCAAACCACGGTGTGTCATGAGCAGGGAATCCCAGAGGAGAACACAAATGAAGGGTGGCTTTGTGACCATGTGTGCCAAATCCTTCAGACTGACCTGAGCCTGCCGGTAGGGCTAACTGTGTGGTGTCCCACGGCAGGAGGAAACCTGGAGCTCTGATATTACTGAGTCCTGATCCCAAAAATGCCCCCAGTGGAAAACATTTTCCCCCATGTGTTACCACAGCTTCACCTATTGATTGGTATATCCCCTGGTGCACCAGACATGCCCATTGCCCTGGATATATTCTCTACCACATCACCCAATATGATGCTACCTCCTGTGCCTCACTGAGGAAGCTTGGATCTGCCAGAGATCAGGATTCCTATGTAAAATTAGTACTCAAAGTGACAAAAGTTCACCTGAATCAAGAAACCTTGAGGATATTACAGTAGTAGCCAGACCTTCAGAAAGGTGGAAGAGCATCAAGAACACTCTGCCACTCTCCTTCCCTTGCCTGCCCTCTTCCACCTGGCTGTGGCCACAATGTAATCAGCATAATCACAGTGTAATCAATACATTCTGCAGCCAACAGAAAAGGTGGTGGTTGGATTGCGATAATGTGCAAATAACTTCACACTGTGGTGTGCAATCTGTGGGAGGGACACGTGTATAAGAGGCTGCCTTGCACAGTGCTGTGAATGGCTCTGTGCCTGACCCTTAAGTAACAGAACACCGCAAAACATGATGGATGTGCTTACCTAGGCAGGAGTTAAAAAAATCATCATCTTCCTGTGTGATGGTCTTATCCCATTACTGCGTGAATGGGCATTTAATTTCTTTCCCACACAGGGATCATTAGCTGCTGGGTCAAAAGGAGGAAAAGGCAGCTCTGCAGAGAAAAGGGCTTTCCAAAGGGGTAGAGGACCCAGAGCAGCAAGGGACAGCCCCAGATTTTGCAGGGACAGCAGTTTTGAAAATGCAGGCACTTCTGTTGGGTCTGAGCTCTCCTGAAGAGCACCTGGTAAGTGCCAAACCAGTCTGGCCAGTTTTAGTTCTCTAAGTTAAGTGTTTTGTAGGATGGGAGAGCTGGGAAGGATGATTCTTGCCCTCTGCTTGCCATCTGTTGCGTCTCCTTGTTTCCCCGTGGTTTCCTGCCGGCCCTGCTGGCAGTTCTGTTTCCCCCAGCCGCTGGTGGTGTCCCTGAAGGCATCAGTCAGTGGTGTGGCCAGGACAGAGACATGGCTGATTACAGGGTGGAGACATTGGTGCTCTCAGTAATAGCTGCTCATTTCCCAAATCTCTGCCTTGAATAAATAACATCAAGGCTGACTAAGGAATTCCTAATTAAAGGGAACACAATCAAAGCTGAAACAATATTGCTTCGACTTCAGCCTGCAGTTTGCTTCTGCCCACACTCCCCAGAGGCCAGAAGTTCAGGGGAGAGGTGTAAATGTTAAACAAGAGAGAGCCTGCTTTGGTTATGTTTGCTTGTCTATTTTTATAGGGCTGGTGTACCAAAAAACAGGGGGGTTGATTCTTTTGTCTCCTTAAGTGGTACAAACCAAGAGTGACTTTAGAGCTATGACGGTGCGAACGGACCAAACTCACAGTTTTTGGCCTTGCAGTAACAAAGCAAATAAGCCCCCCTTTCCTCAGCTGTGGAGATGAAGTAATGCTGAGCCCCTTCCCTTCCCACCAGCGATCCCACAGTGTGTGTGTCGGTAGCATGGGTGGCACGAGTGAAGTTGAGCATCCACCCATCCCAGCGCCAGCCAGCCATGTGCTCTGCGGTGCTGACACCTAGTGGGGAGCACTTGGTGACCCGGAATTTGCAGCTGGATTTGCCTCCTTGCATACTGTAGTGGAAGCCAGGGAGAAAGAGGCTGGGATCTGGGTGTTATAAGAGCTTAACAGCAGCCCATGAGAGTGCCAGGGCTGCTCTTAGCCCTACCCTGTTTTGGTTTCTGTTTTCCAGAGAGAGCTACCGATGGGTCCCTACGGAGCGAGGACTGGGCTCTCAACATGGAGATCTGTGACATCATTAACGAGACTGAAGAAGGGTAAGGAGAGCTGGCAAGGGTCCATATCCAGCAATGGGTCCCAGCACACCCTGTAACACTACATCCCTAGGCTGCAGTGGTAGCATACACTGGTGGAGGTAATAAGCTAGGCTTCCCAACAGTCCCTTAGACAAGACTCTGCTAGGAGACCTGGAGATACAGCCAATCTGCCACAGCATTTGTTAGATGCATCTGTATAATCTCTGTGAGTGCTGGGAGCCATTCAAACAAACCTTCAGGGTCTCCAGAGAACCCTTGATTCAATCCAGGCTGCCTCCCATGTCCCAAAGGCATATTTGCAATTCTTCCACTTTGGTTTATTCCTTCTTCGTACCCCTCTCTTTCTTTCCCCTGGGAACGTAAAAATCTGCAGGCTGGTGACTGAGTAGAGAGCTGCTGTTCAGTCCTCTCACTGTGCAAGTCCTACTGGGGTTTGCTGCTCAGGTATTGTCATGTACCGTCACTCAGACTCACGCAGAGTGGGTGGGGGAGCCCTTGTCTCCCTCTCCCTGCAGGGAAATGCTCATAAATCTGCCAGACTTGTTAACTCTGGACCTGGGGATTTGCCAATGAATTCAAGGGAGGCTGCTCCTTCACACAGTGGAGATGTCAAGAGCAGCATGTAAAAAAGAAGGTGCTACATGGAATAAAAAATGTAGGTTTCACTCCTGCTGTCCTACCCCACAGTGATGTTGACAGAGGATTAGCAAGCCCAGTTTTCAGCTTCACAGTTGTATGAAAACAAAGTCAAACATCTTTACTCACAGATCTGTCACCACTTCTTTTTCATGCTATTCCCATGGTGGAAATACACCTGTCTCTGTCCACAGTTCTCAGTCCTGATCTGTGGCCTCTTTTTTGAGGTCTGGACTCCTGATAACACAGCTGCACCTTTCTGGGATGACAGGCTCTCCCACTGCCCTGCTAATGCTCATCCATTGACACCATGCTGCCCCAAGGGTCAATGCAGTCCTTCCGTCCTCACTGGCTCAATGTCTCCCCCCCACTCTTTTCCCCTAGCAGTGCTCTTCTTCCAGCTCAGCCTCGCTTCCTGTGCTCTACTAGAGCATGTTGATCCATTTGTGCCCTCTCAGGACCACAGTGGTCTGAGACCACGGTGTTTCTCCCCTCTGAGAATGGTTAAGGAGGCCCGCAATATAGGCAAGATTTTGCCACTGAATCTCCCCTGGAGCTTTTTAATCTCCTTTTCTCCAGGGAAATGTTGTTTAACAGCTTCTCTCTGAGCAACACAGGAATTGTTGTAGCTTGCTTTCTTCTTCCTGTTTCTAACCCATGCCAAGCTTTTCTGTGATGTCCTCCTTTTCAGTCTCTCTGCCATGGGATTTTGCTCTCCCCCCAAGCTGTGTGTTTCTAGCATTGCTTTTACTCTGTTCTCTGTTGTGTCCTGAGCACCTTGAGTTGTTGCAGACATCAGCACAGAGGCCTCCAGTTTCAGGAACAGCACTCAGGGACATGGTTTAGTGGTGGACTTGGCAGTGTTAAGTTTGCTGTTGGACTCGATGATCTTAAAATGTCTTTTCCATCCTAAATGATTCTATGATTAGCAGGGCCCCACTCCTCTTGCAGAACCACAGGCAGAAGCTGTTTTACCTGTCATTGCTTCAAGCCACCCTGCAAACATGGTGGGGAAGGACACCTGCAGTGTATGAGGCATCCAGAGCCAGTGGCTGTTTTGCTTTGCCTCACTGTAGGTGGGGCTCAACCTTCTGATGATCTTTCTTCATTGCATTTCTCCCTCAGGCCCAAAGATGCTTTCCGAGCCATTAAGAAGAGAATTGTAGGGAACAAGAACTTCCATGAAGTTATGCTGGCTTTGACGGTGAGTGGTCAGGGCTCTTTCTCAGCTCCACTGTAAAGCTGAGTGCTGAACATGAGCTTTAGCTCACGTGTTGAAAAGACACATGTATCTAAAGCCAACAAGGCAAATAAGCACGTGCAGGCAGAGAAGTCTATAGCAAATACTTCATTGCCTTTGAAGGTTCTGGAGACATGTGTCAAAAACTGCGGCCACCGCTTCCATGTCCTGGTGTCCAGCCAGGACTTTGTAGAAGGTGTCCTAGTGAGAACAATCCTGCCGAAGAACAACCCACCTGCCATAGTGCACGACAAGGTGCTGACCCTCATACAGGTGAGCCAAGAACTGTGAGCATCTGCACCTGTTCAGAGAGTGTTTGTCTTTAGGTTTTACGGTAAAGTATCGTAAATGGTGATGGGCTGTGCTGTCTCCTTCTCCCCAGTCCTGGGCAGATGCCTTCCGTAGCTCACCGGATTTGACTGGTGTCGTTGCTGTCTATGAAGACCTGAGACGGAAGGGCCTAGAGTTCCCCATGACTGACCTGGACATGCTGTCACCCATCCACACGCCACAGAGGGTATGGGAGCATTGCTGAAGAGAAGAATGTTGGGCAACTGCCATTCTGGAGCTATGAGGGGACTTTAGGGACTCTGTCTTGCATTTAGAGGGCTTTTGGGGAGTGAGAACTCCAGGACAGGCAAGAACTGTTGAAAGCAGGTGCCATCAACATTTCTCCTCTAATGTCAGGTGTGAGTGTCTAACATCTAAATCTCTGTCATTTTCCCACCTCTGTCTATAGACTGTGTATAGCTCTGACTCCCAATCCGGACAGAACTCACCTGCAGTCAACTCCCCTCAGCAGATAGAGTCCATCCTCCATCCTGTCACCTTGCCCACTGGGAGAGGCTCATCCAGTGACGCACCCATCACACCCACACCAGAGCAGGTGAGTTGGACACAAGCCCTGTGATGTTCTTTACTCTCCCTGTGTTTGGGGGCTGTTTCACAAACACTGTTATGGGACTGCTGTCCTGGTCCTTCCCTAGCCTCTGTCTTCAAGAGCCGTTCCTCTACAGCACAGTCCCTTGAGAGCTCCCCAGAGCTCCATTGTGGTCACATTGATGAGCTGGGATACCACAATCATGGAGTGGTTATGTTTTCCAAAGACAGGGCTGCTTGCAGGTAGAGGGAAGTTCTGGTTATAGGGAAGTGGGGACCAGAGACATCAAGGTTTAGAGTGAGGTCTTTGTAATGCAGTTCAGCAAAAGCTTGCTCAGTAGATGCCTCCTTATCATCTTTGTTTAGCTTGCCTCACTGCTTACTTTATACAAATCAGCCCTGTCTGGCTCGTGGTTTCCGAAGGCTAGGGCTTCCTCACTTGTTTCCCCATCCTCTTTTCTCCTTCCTCACCCTGACTTCATATGACACCATATTCAGCACCAAACCTCCAGCTGTCAGTATGTTGCATTCCCTTGCAGAACAATGGTACAAACTGTTCTAAAGAGGCTCATTAGCAGCTTGTGAAACCAGAGGGATAAAGCTTCAACTGCACACTTACCTGAGGCTCTCCTGTTGAGTGGGAATTAATTTTTTTCGTCTGCTTTGGAAATTAAACCATTTAAGTGGCTGCCACACAGGACTTGCTAGCTGGGGAGAGATTTGAATCATAACAGCAGCGCCTGTGCTGGCTATTAAAAATCAAGGCTAGGCTAGTAGCCAAAGGTCCCAGTTGAGGGCCTGGCATCTGTTACCAGCAAATTAACTCAGTGGTAAGTAATGAAGATTCTTTCTGCTGGGGGCTCCCGAGAGCTTAACAGAGTGGCAGCAGTGGTGACAAATTAATTCCCCAGTGGCTGTTCCCTGCAGCTCTACGAACACACATACAAACATGGTGCTATTTACTGCTGTACAGAGCTACCTCAGCTACCTCCCCAGTCTTCCCAGGTGGAGCTGTCACTTCCCTTTTGCAGATTGGGAAGCTGCGCAGTGAGCTGGAAGTGGTGAATGGGAACACAAAGGTCATGTCGGAGATGCTGACGGAGCTGGTGCCGTCCCAGGCTGAGCCTTCTGACTTGGAGCTGCTGCAAGTAAGGAACACTGGAAGGGTGGAGGGCTGGCACAGGCAGCAAAATTTAGCAATGACTTGATGGACTGAGGCATGATGCATGCATGCCAGACATGGGTAACAACTGGACAATTTAGTGTGGGGTTTATTAGGGAGTAATGGGATAAGGGAGACACAGGGTAGATGGAGGGAAATTGCACTACTGAGGCTGGAATCATCTCACATGGAGATTTGTCCCTAAGGGCCTTTCTTTCTGGGCAATGTGTTACACAAAAAGCATACAATAATTCCATGTAGAGTCCAGACTCAATTTCACTCTCACACCAATATTTATTGCCCATCAACAAATTCCTGATAGATCCCAGTAGCCTCTGGAGTCTATGTCTATTCCAGTCAGACTCCCAAATCCATGAGTGCTCAGCCTTAGCGTGAGCTGTGTGGTAACTTCCCCTTGCTTTGAACAGGAGCTGAATCGGACATGCAGAGCCATGCAGCAGCGTGTACTGGAGCTGATTCCCCGTGTCCTCCATGAGCAACTCACCGAAGAGCTGCTTCTCATCAATGACAACCTCAATAACGTGTTTCTGCGCCATGAAAGGTACCTCTCTTCTCCCTTCTCTGCCCTGCTCTCCCACGAGCCCCTTGAAGGCCACCTATACCACCCTTTTGATCTGTCCGTAAGTATAATACTCAAGATGTATCAGTCTATACCATCCCTCTCTGAGAACAAAGTCATTTCTCAGTTTTAGCTGACTAATCCCTGTCCCTTCAAGACTATATGGAGAGCTATGTTTAAACCATTTTGGTTGGGAATAGCTCTGGAGGATCACAAGCAGCTTTCTCTCTCAGGAGACATCAGCTCTGTGGGTCTTGTTGTGGTGTCTTCAGTCTTGAGAGGAAATTAGGCCTTGAGCCATGTTCCCCCTTTCCTGTTATGTAGGAAGGGACAGGCTGTGCCATGCCTTATAAGAAATCTGTGGGTGAATAAGCACATGCTATTGAAATGCATCCTGTCATTTTTCTTGCAGGTTTGAGCGCCTTCGGACAGGACAGCCTGTCAAGGTAACTCAGAGCAACTTCACCTCTGTGAAGCTTAGACTGCATCCCACAGGTCCAGCCGGGCCTGCCGAATTGGAGAGAGGTTCAGTCTGCCCCTTAGAAGTGGTAGGCTTTGCTCTCCCAGCCAAGGTGCACCAGACCACCTGGTGTGCAGGACACTCCATTTCCCACTGCCAGCCTCGCCCTCCCTGCCCGTGGGAGCCTTCCCCTCACTCAGAGAGCAAGAGCAGAGCAGCAGCAGTTATGGTTTTCCAGCACTGAATATTGGGAGGATCAATTCCCATATGAGCCTTCTCTGAGCACTGTCCTGTCCTCTGAACCGGCATCTACCCTACTTACTGACATCTAGCAGAGCTGGGAGGCTGGCTACTGAGACCAGCCCTGGGACACTGTTCCCAGCAAGTTCTCTGATCACTGTCCCCTTTCTCACAAGGAAAGGCTTCACAACTGGCATCTTTCGATGGGTATAGAAGGGTTTTCCTCTCCAGTATCAATGAGCTAGGACTGTAGGGCCAGGGTGTCCAAGCTTCCGAAACTCTCCACCATCTTCTTTTTTCTTCCTTCAAAGGCACCAAATGAGGCAGAGAACAGCTTGATTGATCTGGGACCCAGTACTCCTTCTACATTAAAGCAGCCTGAAGTCACCAACAACCTTTCCTCTCAGCTGGCTGGAATGAGTATGTTTCCATGCAGTTTTCCTCTCATCTTTCTCCTGTGCTGCATCGGGAATCCCTTCCTGCCCTTGAATCATCTCCCATAATTATATAGTCATGTTCACAGAGTAACCTGGAGAAATGGTGTGTGTTTTCAACTAATAAACTCATGAAGAAACTTGTATATGCCCCAAGGCACTCAAGCATTGTGCAGGAGGTGGACATGCCTTAAGAAGGATCTCAGCATTAGTCTGTGGCTAAGGATTAGGCCTTCCAGCAGGGTAGGGGATGAAATTGCCCCCTCTGCATGCCTGGCAGCATTGCCTAGTTGCCTCTCTTGCTGTGTGGTGTGAGGCTGACCTCTAAGGTCTAGAAGAAGAAAATCAGCTGAAACTATGCTGCAAAGGTGAAGCCATGAGCATCTTGGGCTCAGGACTCAAGATCTGACAGGTTGTTTACTGAAAAAGCCTGAGAGGTCCTAAGGGTTCTTCAAGATATACCAGCAGCCTACATAACACTGCCTGAAGCTCTCACTGCCTGGGAGCACATTCAGTACAGCTGGGATGCAACTACCGAAAACTGGCAAGACTGTTTTTATAGACAAGCCAGTTGAGATATTTTTCAAGTCAGGTTTTTTTCAGATGATGTCTGAGTCATGAAAATCCACTCATCTGTCTCAGAGGTGCTTGCCCAGAAGCACAGGTCTTCCACAGGTTATGGAGCAATTCCCTCCTGAGCTGTCTAAAATGGTCAGGAACATCTAGCCTTCAGCATCAGTTCAGTAAATTGATGATGATGCTTTTGCCTAAGACTGAGCCAAAAATCTCTACTGAGCAGGCAAAGAAACTGCTTCTGTTACTTCACTGTCGACACTGCACACTTGTAGCCTGTGCTGCAGCTGAGGGGCAGGATAAAGGAGTGGGCCTAGAACAGTTTAGCCTGTTGTGATGATAGCTTTCCATCTAGCACTCTCCTAGCCCACAGCCCTTCATTTACTGCTCTGAGCTGCCTGTTCACCCTTCTTTCTCCCACAGACTTGGGCTCGAGCAGTGTAAGCGCGGGGCTGCACTCCCTCGACACCTCTGGCAAGCTGGAAGAAGACTTTGACATGTTTGCCCTGACCCGTGGCAGCTCGCTGGCTGAGCAGCGCCGAGGGTGAGTGCAGCAGCCCACTCTGTCCTGTCCTGCCTTCTTGTAAAGGAAGGAGTGCTCAGGGCAACTGGGGCCATGATCCCAACCAACAGCAGTTCCTGGGATACAGGAGGATGCAACAGAAATGCACTCTTTGGATGCACAGTATTTGTAGGACAAGCTCTGTGCTCCCAGTCCTTTTTTCTTCTACCGTCATCTTCCCTTCATAGTTTCCTCCTGGGTATGGAGAGAAGGAAGCGGTTCCTGTATAGGAGCACTGTGGTGCCACATGTTCTCAGGAGATTCAGTGTCTGGAGATGAAGGTGTGGAGTGGGACTGGCTGAGTTTTCTTGTCCGTCTCATGTGCCCTGAGTGGGGTGATGTTAAGTTCAGGAACTGTTGAACACTGATGGAGCCTAACAGGGTATTGAACTGGAGTGCAGGAAGAATGCAGTCAGTTGTGGCAGGGCAGGGCACTGCTCTGCCTCAGCTTCCCTGTTGGCAAATGGGACTGATGTTTCTTCCCCTACAGTGTGTTTGAGACCTGGAGTAAAGCACTAAGAGCTGGGTCTCCATTGTACTGGCTGAAGTGGTCTTCTCTACTGCAGAATGGATTCCTAAATCCTTGTTCTGGAGGAGCTAACAGTGGCTGTGCTGACCAGATCTGTTGGGTTTGAGAGACTGTGGCTGATCTCACACTGCTTTCCTGTCAGAGTCATTCCCTGCTCTCCATCAGCTACCAAGCAGTAGAGCCCACAGGCGCATGGCTGTCTCCGGCCCTCCAAGACCTGTGCTCCTGCGCTCCTGCATTCACTGGGGTGCCTTGTTCTGCAGCTGGATAGCAGCAAGTTAAGGTCTCTTATACGTGTCAAGTTAAGGTCTTTTAAGGACATCTCCTTCCATTCCTCTGCCTTATACTACCTCTGGTAAACATGATGGGGAAATCTGTGGCCTACACATGACTTCATGTGTTTTGTTCATGGATTTTCCCACCACTTTTATGGTGAGGTGTGCTGCCTGAGGGCAGAGGCAGTGCAGCTCAAAAGCAATCGTGCCAACAGCATCTGATCTGGGGCTGAAATCTGAGCCACTGGTATGTACTCAGTGCTGGAGGCTGGGGGAGATCTGGACAGGGGTGGAATTGTATCCTCTGTGCTGTGGTGCAATCCTTAACAGGCTGAGGCACAAGTAACAAGACATCTTCTATTTATTCCTCACTGGCCTTCATCTGCCAGCACTTGCGCTCCTGCCAGGTAATCTCTACAGGCTCGGGCTTCGCATTTCACTCATCGGCATCTGCTCTCAGTGTCTCCCTCCACCTGAACAGACCCACTGCCCTACAGCTCCCGAACAGGACGTGCTGGCAGGAGACACAAGCAGGGCTGCTGGCGTTTTTTCCTGAGCCCCCCCATGCTTCATGTGTGCCTCAGTGAAGCAGTGCTTGAAACACTTCAAGCCTTTCCTGCCGTTCTTCCTCATCAGTGGCATGATAGCAGTGCTGTACTTCGTCCTGGATGCCATTGTCCACAGCGGCCCCTTCACAGATGAGCACTTCTTTGAGAAATTTGAGCAGCGGTGGCCCAAGCCCCTGGCCCCCAACAGAAACAGCTCCACTTGATGGTCTGCTGGATCTGCTGAAAGGGGCCCAGGAGCAGCTGGAGAGGAGACTTGTGGAGAGTTTCTGTGAAAGGCTTCATTCTCCTAGCATGGATGGAATGTTTTCCCCACTCTACATGGATCAAATGGTGATGTGTGGCATTATCATGTGGGATAGCAGCATAGAGAAATGGGATGAGGGAGATTATGGATGAGACGTATCTGTGTGTGGAAAGAAGTTGCTGTAATGGTGCATTAGGAGACCATGAAACAACACTAGGCTCTTCTGATCATCCAGTCTCACATATGTAGCATGGGCCAGTGAGCCTCTGCCACCATCAGTTCTGTTGTATCAGTTAAAGAGATATTTTTGAGCTGTGTTTGTGAGGTGAGTATGTAGGGGCTTGTTGCTCAAATCCTTTCTAAAGTAGCTGTTATATTCTGGTCAGTCTGAGTTAGTTTTCTCTCTTTATAGTCAACCCCAAAGAAGGTAAGTGGTGTATTGATGCACCTAGCTCTGTAAGTCTGTGTCTAGTTTCATATGATACCTCGTTATTCTCCTGTCATGTGCCACAGCTGTCCTGTCGCATCCCATAATAATGTTGCAGCGAGTAGATTAGTCTGTTTTGTGGTGAGCTATACCTTTAATAGGGGTTTTGCTCACCTTTCTAGAAGCTCTTGGGAGCAGAATGGCAAGAGATGAAAAGTCATGCAGTCAGAATAACTGAATATATGTTTAGGAGTTTTTGCTCTTCACTCTCAGGCATCTCATCAGCCTGTGCATTATCTAATTTCATGCTTTCAGGGTAAAGTACGAAGATCCCCAAGCCACCAAAGGACTCGCTGGTGCCCTAGATGCCCGGCAGCAGAACACAGGAACAGTAAGTGGCCACAGAGCTTTTAGTGTATTACCAAAAATAAGAGTATCCTCCTTGCTCACCAATGCAGTAAATGTGCTGTCTGTTTGCAAAAAATCAAGTGTTTTGCATTACCAGTGATAACTCCTAGTCTCCACAAACCTGCATGTCTTACCTGGGCTACATATCTCATTCTTTAAACCCCTGAGGTGCAGAACTATGGAAAGCCTGGGGTTAACTCAATCAGCCACAGGATGTCCTCCCTACATCTGCAGGGAAATTTCCACGTGGAAATGTATGTTTTATTCATCTTAAGCAGGTTTCCAAGTCCAGTTGCCCCCTCTCTGCAATCAGAGAAGTAGGCCACCAGTAAAACGTGTTCTTTCCCCCACCCTAGACCCACTGCCTCCCCTCTCCCTCACACTCTGCAATGCAGGCTCTCTCTCATCCAGGGGGAGTCTGGTGCCTCTAATGATGGAGCCCAACTGACTAAATGGATGATGCGGCAAGGAATGGTGAGATCTGAGATCACGGAGGGCCAGCAGAGAGGAAGGAGGCTGGGGCTGCTCAAGTAGAAGTGGCGCTGGCACAGCACATGAGGATGCACAGCAGACATCAGCAGAGATTGCTAACTGAAATGGAGCAACCCTGATCTTGGCCAGCGGTGGAGATCAGAGTTGGGAAGGAAGCAGGCAGAGTGTCAGCCTCAAGTAAACATGTCTGTAGGGAAAAATCCTAGGAGCTCTGAGGCCAAGAGAGCACATGCACTCTGAGCTAGAGGATGGCCTGTTTTGGCGTGGGTATCTGGGGCAGAGGCACTAGCTGGTGGCATCATGAGCTGCTTCCATTCATTCCCCTTGCAGCCTCTTCTGCTTAGCACAAGCTGCCTCGTTTGGAGGAAAGCACATTGTGACTTTTACTGTTCAAGGCCTCCTCCTGTAGCTTGAGTGTTTGAGCTTTCAGGCTGTTGAATTTGGTCTTTTAGCAGCAGGAATTCCTAAAATTACATTCCCTCAGGCACATGGAGGCTTTGACAGCTCCCAGGTCTGAAGCTTGTTAGCCTGTCTTCCTGTAATGGGCACTGCCCAGACTGATGTCTGCTTTAGGAAGTTTCCCCACATGCTGTCCCCTTGGCTTGAATGCACTTCTACCCCAAAGAGTTTCTCTCTGGGCAGGCTCTCCAGTTCGCTTCGAAACTTCCCTAATCTCACACATCCTCTTCCATCCCCATTTATTCATCTGCCAGCTGTAGTAACTATCTGCACTTGCTCCCTGGTTTGGGGAAATCTTCCTGTCCTTGATAAGAAGTTGTTGCTCTTTTTCTTGGTCTTGGTGTTTTCCAGAGGCCAAGGGAGCTATACATATTAGAAGACTAATAAATAAGTTACCACAAATACTCTCACGCTTCTGCTTGTGGAGCCTTTAGCAAGGGCTGCTTCTTTCTCAGCTTTGGTCAGGAGCTCCTGCATAGAGAAAATGTCCAGATTTGGTTTCCTTCAAGGTTATCTCTGTCCACTAGTAATATGTCTCTTCACTGCTTAAATTGACCAGGGACATGAATGGGATAACCTCATCCCTACCGAAAGTAAAATTTACTTTAATTGTAGATGACATTCTCTTCGATTAATCTGTTTCAGTAGTTTTGTGTGATGTCAAATCCTGCTGTGCTTCATGATCCTATCAGGGAACTGATTCTTGGCAGGTGTCTTTTCTCCTTATTGTGGTGCCAAACCTGGCACATCCGGTATCTTAAGCACTGCAGACTTTGACATCAGACTGTCACTAATTTTTAGAAGGGAAGAGGTGTGGAGAAATGCACACTTCTTGTCCTCTGGCTGCATAACACAAGCAGCCAACTCCCACCTAGTGAGACCTCACCAAAATGGAAAGTCTGGTCTAGTCCTAATACCCCAAAGTCAACTGCCAAACCACAGAGGCTCTTAATGGCATGTACCCTGGAAACTATGCATGTCTGGGCATGGATGTGGGAGAGCAAGCAGGTGAGTGGTGGCATTGGTAGCTGGGAAAGCTTTGCGGTGGCACTGGCTGGATTTGGAAGGGCCTGAGCTGACTGAACAGTGGAGCAAGAGGGTGAGCTTCTGCATTGGGCTTTCTTTTTGCGTAATGGATTTCCTGGAACATCCTCTCTTTTCTTGGCCTCATCATCCTTTTTTCCTTTTGTCCTAGGTGCCAGTTCCTCAAGCCAATTTCATGGAAGACATAGAAAAGTGGCTCTCCACTGATGTGGTAAGTGAGGGGCTGCTTTCCTGGAGCCACTTGTCCTGCCAGAGTTCTCTGCAGGGCTGGACTTCAGGTGGTGGGCAACACTGCTGAATGTATGGCACAGGCTGCTCAGAGGGAGCAGGGAAGGAAAGGCCAAGGACACAGGGCAACAGTATAATTAGCCTTCTGGGAGGCATAGCAAATGAACTGAGGATCAGGGCCACATGTCTGTACTGCAGAAGTGGAAGGAGAACTATCTTGTCTCTCTCTGTGCAAAGAATCACATCTGTGAGATGCCTTTATCTATCTTCCTTCTAACCATGCCCTTCTTCTTCTCTAGGGTGAATCAGAGGATGCAAAAGGTGTCACCAGCGAAGGTGAGACGTGCCACCTATCCCCTTTTCTCTAACTGTTCCTGGCAGCATGTTGGCTCTTCCATTCTTTGCTAATCCTCTGCTCTTCTCTTTCCCCAGAGTTTGACAAATTTCTGGAAGAGCGAGCGAAAGTTGCAGACCGCCTACCCACTTTGTCCAGCTCCTCAGCAGGGAGGTCTGTCTCCCCTCCAACTGCCAGCCATCATCGGAAGCAAGCAAAGGAAGATGATGCTATGTTTGCTTTGTGAATGCTATGGACCGGTGTGCTGTGGAGCAAGAGGCTGTGTGTGCTGTTTTGCTTGCCTCCAACCAGGGGCCAGCAGAGGAAGGACTCTGTCCCCTTCCTCCATTCTCTTCCTCTTTTACCTTTGAGTTGTTTTTATTATTAAGCTGCTTTCAGACTTCAGATAATCTTTGTTGTGTTTAGGGATATCACACGATAGACTTGTGAAGGGGAGTTTCAAAGCTGCTAGAAGAATGTGGGAGTTCAGTGGGCTTTTCTCTTTTTGGTACAGTGTGGGCAAAGCAGAAGGAGCTCTGGAAGAAGCTCCCCATCCTACTCTCCAGTGATGTAGTTAGAGATCTTGCCCAAGAAACAGGAGAGGCTGCAGTCTGCTGCTGAAATCATTCCTGCCTGCCTCTTCCCTCACCCCTTCCCTAGACTGGATCTCCAGCCCTCTGCCTGCCAGTATTAGACTGGAAAGCACAGGGATGTGAAGCGTTACTGGTGGCCAAGGAGGAACACTAATGGTAGAGGGACCCTGTTGCTCTAATCTCTCTTGCACAAGTGCTTGTGGTATGCAACACCTTCCCACTCATAACCCCTTCTCTTCCTCATCCTTTCCTCCCCTTCCCCATCAGTTTATCCAGAATCCTACCCACAGCCCAGATGTTTTCATTGCAAGACAGCCAGTTACCCAGGCCCTTGGCAGCACACAGGGCTTGAGCTGCAAGCGGTACCCCAGGCTGAAGGGGCTGTCTCCTATGGGGTAGGATGTGCCTTCAGCAAACTATCTGCAGTTAATTTAATTCTCCCATTATTATACTTTTCTCCCGACGTGATCCTACCCCTCTCTCTCACTTCCACTGATGCCTTTCACCACATCGTGCCGTGGTGTGGGGAGTTTCTCCATACAGACTCCCTCAGGGTAGCTGTATGTTCTGGGGTCGCAGAGCTGTGTTCCCTAAAGCAGGAGGCCCTTACATTAGCACTGTTACACCACTGGGGGGAACATGCTGTTGCTGCAGTTCAGCTGGTGAGCACAGGGGCGAAGCAAGACATCCATCATCTCATGCCAGCCAAGCAGCCCTACAGCAGCCAGGAGCTCCTTCGTACATGAGGAGCAAAACCCTTTGGAGCAAACTTCACATGCTGCCTGATTGTAAAGGAAAACCAGGGAGGAGGGTGCCAAGCCCAGGGCTCCTGCTTGTGGGATTTCTTGTTGAGTGTGGGAGAGCTGCCTTTTTTTACTGCACATTAAAGGAGCAAAGACTTGAGCCTCCCTTGAAGATATGGTGTGTGCTGTGAGTGCTGGTGTGGGGAGGGGAGGATCCTGTGGGGAGAAGAGGAGTGAAACCATGCAGCCACAGTTTCTTTCCATGAAAAGGCAAGGACACTGTCATGCTGCGAGGAGGCACGGTGTGGGGGCCAAGAGTGCTGGGAGCCAAGGCAGGTGCTTGCTGCTTTTTACCAGTCTCCTGGGTCAGTGACTACAGCCCATCTCAAAATAGCCAGAGGGTGAGCTACCTCCTCTCCTTTCCCTCTCTGCCTTGTGACCAGATCTGGATACCCACCTTGCAGCCCATAAGTCACTTATAAAAGACATGCAAGAAACAGTTGCTACGAAAGGGCCCTCTGGTATCCACAGGGCATTCTCAGTTGTCCCCATGCCATACCCCAGCATGCAGCTGAGTGGCAGCTGAGGGAAAGATTCTTAAAAGGAAGTGTAATGGGTTGAAAGTGTCATCTGAGCCCTAGACTTGTGGGAAGGAGTTAAATTAGCTGAAGTTGCTCGTGCCTCAGCACCTCCCTCTCCCCATGCCTGCTTGCAGTCTCAGCTGTACCAAGCTCCGGCAGAGCCTTGAGGATAAGAGCTGCAAGGAAGCTGGGCTGCAGCTGGTGGCAGCAGAGCTGGAATAATCAGGGTGCTGGTTTTCTTCCTCTGTAAGCAGTTGTGAGACAGGAGGAGGCTTTGTGTCTTCTTGCAGCTTTCCAAGACAGGCAGCACATACTATCTTTGGATAGTTTGTCCCTTGGAAAAATGGATCACCATTTTCAATTCCATTGCATCCCCAATGCCTCTGGTAGGACCCAGGAGACCTCTTCCTCCTTTTTGAACCAGGTGTTATTATGTATTTAATATAACTCTGTTTGAGCAGCAGCCCTCAAACCAGGGTGTGCATGCTATCTTCTGGGCAGTGGGGAGGGGAAAGCCCAACCTACTGAGCCTGAAAGCTGCTCGTCCTGCCCCGTCTTGCTGCTGAGTCCATGAGTGGCTCTGCTGGGGGCCGCCTGAAGCAGAATGGTCACCTCTCAGCTACTCTCCCTCACGCAGCAGGACTTCACTGTGCCCAGGACCCCACACTCCGCACCTAAGAAGGGCTTGGGTAGAACGAAGTGTATAAAGCACTTTCTCTCTGAAGAGCACAGCTGAAGAGCCACAGGCTTCTGCCTTACCAACTACATGAGGGTTTCACGCGGCAGACAAGGGTAAACACTGGGGATTGGCACAGCTGCAGTCCTCTAGCATTTTTAGTTCATTTTTACCACACTCACAGCTTCCTGAAGTTTTTTGTGTGTTTTTTTTTAGTCTCCAAATCATCCTTGTCACAGCAGATGTTTGTAGTGAAGTGTGTGGAGAGACTGGATTTACCCATGCAGCACTGACTCTGGCCTCTGCTGTCACCCCTGCTGAATCCAGATCCTTGGAAAGCATCTCCCTCCCCACCCCAGTCAGTGCTTTGTGCTGGCAGGGTGGCCCTCAGGAGGACACTAGAAGTCAAGGGACCATGCGTGATAGGACAAAGGGGAATGGCTTTAAATTGAAAGAGAGTAGGTTAAAACTGGATATTAGGAAGAACTTCTTTACTCTGAGTGCGGTGAAGCACTGGAACGGGTTGCACAGAGAAGTTGTGAATGCCCCATCCCTGTAAAGTGCTCAAGGCCAGGTTGGATGGAGCTTTGAGCAAACTTGTTTTGTGGAAGGTGTCCCTGTGCATGGATGGGGGGTTGGAATGAGATGATCTTTAAGGTTTCTTCAAACACAAACCATTCTATGATTATGTGAGAGCCCATGAGCTACAGGCCAGTGCAGCATTCCTGCAGTGCTGGAGACTTGTGAGGGCATGTCCCTCCCACAAGACAGGGCTGAGCTGGGATGTGAGGGTCTGAGACCCCCTGCAGCTTCCCTCCTGTGTCAATGGGAACTCAGACTAGGAAGAATGGCACAAGAGCAAAATACTGAGCTCCTCCCACTGGAGCACCTGCAGGAGAGAGAGAGCAAGAGCAGGGGCATGATGGAGCCCAGGCTGGTGAGTTTTGTAACTGTGGGGCCAGAAAGGTCTCCAGAGGAAGCAAACAGCCTGATGCAAACAGCAAACAGCAAAAACCCTCTTGCCAGTGCCTGGGCTCAGGCTGCCTGGCTCTTCTGGGAAGAAGGGGCTTCTGGTGGCCAGTCAGCATTTGTGCAGGATAGCAGCCTGTTCACACCAGTGTTGTTTTGAACACCGGTTCATGTCTCAACTAGTGCTTAAAGCCCTCAGTGCCTCCAGCTCCCTCTGTAGGGGACATTGCCTGCAGCTTCCCTGAAAAGAGAAATTAAGACATCCCTAACGTACACCCCGAGTATGGGGAGTTCAAGCTCCTCCAAACTGCCTCTGGGATATCCTTTATCTCAGGATAAAGACTCTTTCTTCCACCATGACCTTGTTTTTAGCTCCCCAGAAAGTGGACATGGGACCTGGCAAAGCCAAGAGGGAATGATCCCTGAGGAAGACTTGAATGCAGGAAAATTGGCTCACTGCTATTTTCGTCACGGGGCAAACAGGTGGGAAGGGTTTTTGGTGGCTGTCAAGTGGGGTCAGTTTGAATCAATGATCAACACGTGAAAATTTAGATGGCTGCTTGTGGCCCTCTGGGCAAGCCTGTCCTCTTCCCACCATGCAGCCAGCCACAGCCATGGCGCTTTCCACTGCGGTGCTTCTCATCCAGCACAGAGATTTATCTGACAGGGATGATGCATCTCTTTTTTAAGTAACTGAAAATATGAAGAACGGGAATGAGGGCATGGAAAGATTCCAAACTAGTACTGTCGCACTTCTTATAGATTATACCAGTAATAGCTTGAATTATTTTGCAAGGTTTCTTTTGAGGAAGAACTTAGGGGAAAAAAACCTGCTAGTTCTGCAAGGGATCATTTTTAAGTAGAGGCTGGACATTTTGCATTGTCAAAAAACTGCTTTATGATTGAAAAAAAATCAAATGACAGCACTATAAATAATTCCTTTTAATGACTTTCCCTTTTTAAAGGATTTTTCTCATGTTGCTATTTTAAAAAGAGCAGTGCTGCCTGCTCATTCTGACCACCAGATGGCTGTGGTCCCTCACACGCTCAGCCCGGGCTTCCCAAACTCAGAGGATAACCCCTCCTTTCTCAGTGACCTGCTTAGCAGGCTCTACCACCCCTGGGAACAAAAACAAAACAAAAGTTTTTCCTCACTGTAAGTGTTACGCTGCAACTGTCAGGCCAGTGAAGACTCACACACAGAGCGACTGCTCCAGAACAGGCACTCACGTGTTGCAACTGCACGGGGGACAGGAAGGAGTGCTTTGTGCTCTGTCTAAGCATCCATTAATAACCACACTGGGAACAGGATCTTGACCTGGACAGATATTTTGCATGATCCAGAAGAACTGTTGCTATGCAAGATTAAGAAAGCCGTAACTTCCTTGTACTGGGCCGGAGTCGCTCCACATCTCTGAAAATTAAATACATGCTCAATGCCAATGATAATATCCATGATGTTTGGGTACTGTGATATCTGCCATACCAGCATTGCATTCATAGAGACAAAAACTTGCATGCTTCTCTTTTACCAACTACTAACCCCCAAATACTATTTGATTCTTTCTAAAGGGGAGTTAACAAAAACATATCCTGTTTTCCCACAGTATTGTCTCACACTTCGCCACAGAAGTGTCCCGAACTAGTACACTGGGAAAGCTGTTCTTCATTCCACTGACTTTCATGTTGCTCTGCCATGTCAAAACTTCCTCAAAGTTTATTTTGGATAACAAAATTCCCCCTTCCTTCACAAAATGAGAATAAAGCCACTTCCCCTTTCCTTCAGATTACTGTTAATGGTGCTGCTTAGGGCAGATGAAGATGTTGGGAAGGGACTTGTGGTGGGAGCCCAGTGGACATCAGAGAGGTGGGTTGTGAGGAAGGAAAACATTTCTGTAGGTAACTCATTTTTACCTGTGTAGGGGACATAAGCAAATGAAAGCACAAGAAGAGGCATAAGAGATGAAAAAAAAAAAAGGAGTGGGGGGTGGGGAGAAGGATAGGAAAAACTGCAAACATATAGGGGGGAAATAGGTGCTCCGGTGCTTGGGAGCAAGGGAATGGAGGTCATCATTGACCAGTGGTCACCAGTGCAACACAAGGAGTTGTACTGAAGCCAGTCTAGGATTTTTTTCTGTTTCTCCTGAAGATACTTCAAAAATCATGCAGACAGAGGTGACCTTTTGAACCAAGGTGATATCAGGGTGTTTGGTAGCCCTGAGGAGATTTTTCATTGACTCGCCTGCTCTCCCCTGGCTTTTAGGGTACCCAGAG